GTTTAACCTGGCACACGTTCACAATAATACATCCATGTTGGTTTGGACATTAATTAATAGCGTTTTGCATACAATCTGTTTAAAATTCTACCATTGTGCAGTTCATATAAAGCACATCGAGCTTTAAGTGGGGCTGTTCTGCTCGTGTTCTATGACAAAGTTTTGGCGAACTGTTATATCCATACTTTCAATTTGTGGACACTGTACTTGAACCTTGAGAACTATTTAAAACAACTAGAAAAGAATCTTAATAAATAAAAGTTACACAACAAACAAATTAAGAACACTGGTCGCCATTTCAATATTATCTAATATAATCTAATTTATAATCAAACTCTTTAACAATAATGGTTGAGGATGTGTCTGTTTATGTATTTTGTGTCTTAGTAAATTTTTGCGCAAGCACTCATTGAGGTCTTAAAAACCATAAAAATGTATAAATGAAGAGTTAAAGATACATTGTCACGAAAGTTTTTATCAAGTGGTTATTTCCCAAAAAAGTATTTCAAATTTGGTATGTTATATATATATATATATATATATATATATATATATATATATATATATATATATATATATAGATAGATAGTATAGCCACCCAATGTTACTAAAAAAAATACTGGATTACAAGAAAAAAAACAACGAAAAAAAACCCAACAAAAACATGTGGTAAGCACTGTGCCCAAATGTCAGGGTATCACAAACTGGCAACCCGACGGCTTGTCCGACGGCTTATTGTATGCTAGCTTGACAGAGGGAGCGGTTGTTATTTTGTGATCGAATGGTTGGTGGTTTGGGGAACATTGAGAGGTGTAAACGTATAACAGACTCCAGACTCTGCAATTAAACGGTGGGAAAAGACGTTGACAGAAAATAATTCAAGAATTTACATAGGCCTCAATATGTATGGTAAATGAACAGTAAGTAATGACAAATACATTCTGAAAATGCCCCCGCCCCTCAACCAAGTTAGTTGACAAACATAGCCTTTAAAAACAATTTTGTATAGCCTAGGGTATCCCATCGCGAATACAAAGTTTTGAGAGGGATTTGAAGCAAATTGTTCATTGCTAAATTAGTTTGAATATGATTTTGGTCCAAATAAATCATCATCAAATCACACAGTTTGTACGCGGGAAAGTATCTTTAATATGTGTATTTAAGTGCTGAACTGATTGGTCGCCATACATTAATAATGGCATAAAGATAAGATTGATTGTATTTCACCATGAAATTTCGTTCAGGATAACGCTAATTTCTAGTCGCCGTTCACAAAGGATTGCACTCAATCCTCCCTATAATATATTTTTATTTGGAATAAATGTTCAGGAAACCAAACATGAAGCATGTTCAAATATAAACACTAAATGCAACATCGTGATCACTTCAAAGTAGTCCATTATTATATATCTATTTTGAGAAATTGCTTTAGGTAATTTTATGTCTGTGATATTTGTTTTTTGTGCTTAATTTGAAATATTGAATACTTATATTTCCTAGTACATGTAAAACACAGAACGGACTTAATATAGCATTATTATTTGATTGGTCAAAGCAAGGCGTCTAGAAAAAAAGGCAATCTCATTACAACGAAATAATTCTCAATTAATTCCCCTTGTGCACGCGATCTATGGAACCACCCAGAACCCTGCCCGAGCTGATCTGGGTATATTCTGGAATCAAGGTCAGACAGAAAGGTATATAACCATTGCCTGGAGCAACGTTTACTTGTTGACAAGATTCAGACCAGTGTACAAGCATCGGAGCTCTTTTTAAAAGGTAGGACCATTTTAGATATAATTTTTATTTATTTCGTGCAGTGTTTATTTATTTCAGGAGATACTGTGCCCTCCAAGGACACCAATTGTGCATTTTAGACAATATGAATTCTCTATAAGACACTGTAATATTTTATGGGCAGTGCTTATTTATTTCTAACTTATATTTTAATAATAAAATGGATATGGAAAACAAGTAAGTTTGGATGTATATTCTACGGAAGCGTATAGGGGTCATGCAAAATTTTGTGGAAGACCTGTGATACTTTCTCGAGATCTCAATTTAATGTTCTCGAAGTCCCCTAATAATTTTCTCGAGAATCAACCATCCCGTGTTAACGATCTGGAGAATTGGAGTTAATGTTCTCGGAATCTTACCATTTGCGCGTATTTTTTAACGTATTGTAAGCGACCTATGTCGTTTCGGAATTGATACCCCCCCCCCCCCAACACACACACACTTTTCCGAAAACCTGAATAGCATGATAGAGCCTATAGTTTTTAACGGATTTGTTTCAAATTTGGCAGCGGCCCTCATCGTTCTGGAGTTACCCCTCCCCCGCCCCTTTTCAGAAAACCTTGTTAAAGCAATAGATACTAAAATTGTATTCATACTTTCCCGTCTGGTGAACGCGAGAGTTTTTCAAGATTTTGTTTTAAAATCTGCCGCGAACCCTAACGATTGTCCGTTTATTCTTTCATTAGTTAGCAATTTTCCTTTTTAGCAAATGCCAGAGTATTTCTTTGGGGTATTTTTTTACTAATTTGGGGCGAAGTATTGGACCAATGGTTGCTTCACAACGTGGAGACACTATCATAAGACACTGTGGATCTGGGGACATTATCATATGTCGTCAAGATCTCGACACTATTAACTCGAGATCTCGAGAAAATTTACACAGGATGTCAATTTCTCGAGAACAGTAACTCAAATTCTCGAGATCGTTAATTCAGGATGAAACTATCCCAAGAAAATTACCAGGTGATCACGAGATTTCGAGAAAGGATCACAGGACCTTCTACAAAATTTTGCATGACCCCTATACGCTTCCGTAACATTCACAGAACTTATATACACTTTCCATAATGTCATACAATAAGCTAACTACAACATATAAAATACTTTCAAAATCATCAAAAAAATATGCTACTTTTATCTGAAAACAAATTATAAGTGAGTAAGTAAATTGTATACAGTAAACAGCTAACTTTGTTTGATTTCTTATACAATGTTACCATTCAGTTTAATCTTAAAAGTAACAGGAGATTAGTAAACCACTCTTACATATAATTTTAAACAGCACTTTTATGAGAAAAGTGTCACTGTCGTATGCTCCATCCTTTACCACCAGATGATGGGGTGGGGTGAGCGATATAATGATACTGACATACACTGTAAAAAAAAAATTTTGTAAAAACAAACAGAAAAATTTATGGCAGCAGTTTTACCAGATATTCTTTCTGTAAGTGTATTCTGTTTTTTCCAACAGACAATTTCTGTTAAGTCACAGAAGCATGTTTCTGTAAATTACAGGGGAAAAAATCTGGTAAATTTGCTGCATTAGTCAATGAATTTACAAAAATATTCAAAATGAGAAGAAATTAAGAGCAAGAAATTTTACATGGCTTCAAATTTTGTGATTTCTGAAGACTAGGTTTACTACTTTATATCGTATCTTCTTCGTCTTGCAATTTTTTTTTATCTTCAATGTAAACCATAATGAAAATGACGAAGCACATACAGAAATTAAAAGGTTTTAATTTTCCTGCATATGTCACGGAGTATCCTATCGGCGACATCTTGTGAAGGCTGTGGAGATAACTGTTTACATGTAGGACTTACGGCTCTTTAACATGTACCGCCAATAGCACGCGGAGTCCCAGTGGTTAGTCCAAACTGGACAAATTCAAACCTGCAACACTGACAAGGAAGGACACGTTGCAAAACAAGCATGGGTAGCTTCCCTGGCTAATGGCTAATAGGCCAGCATCATATTCACTGAGACATCACGTCTCTTACACATTAATATTGTTTACATGGTCCATTTGAAATATTTCTACAATACAACATACATTTACATGGCCTCTTTTGATCACAGATTCCAAAGATAAAAAAAACAGCTGAGTACAGCGACTGTGTCTTTATATCAAATAACATACTAAGCATCTACCTATGCTGTAGATTTGCCTTCACACATACATATTATTAGGAAGACTTACCTTCACATCTTATTGTTGATTTTTTTTATTTATTTTTTTTATTTTTATCGTCAGCACATCCACCGCCATAAGTAAAACGCGCGACGCGCTTGCGTTAACTGAATTCAACAATATAACTTTGTCAATTAGCAGAACAGTGCCGTTAATATACAAATTATTCTGGAATATTACAGGTCTTTTGATTAATAACAAAATTTATATTGCTAATAAACAGTTTCTATCAGCTTATATACTGATAAATATGTAAAAATACATGTGTTTCCATCCAAATACAGAAATACAACTAAAACAACGGATCTTATGGTAACAAAAAGTAGGGATTTAAAAAGCATATATTTTTTTACAGTGTTTGCATAAATGAAATTGAATCACAATGTGATCCTATTAATTCATAATAAAAATTGACGTCAAACGGGGTGTTGGATTTCTCTCTTTAAAAAGCTCAGTGTGTGTGTATGCCCTGCGTAATTTGGAGAGGATGATGGCATCATACTTTGCCAAAGATGATGGCATCATACTTTGCCAACTGTCGATTTCCTTAACAGGAACCTGGCAAAACCCCTCCTGCAAAAATTCCTGGATCCGCCCCTGAATTTACCAGGTTATATACACTGTATAAGTATTTGTATAACATATTTTGATTTAATTCCTTTAGAACGTATGGCATGCACCGTCTTGTCTTGATAGACAATCCTTTTAGTGGAGAGATGGTGCAGTTCGTTGAGTCTAAATGAGCCGAATCACGCGAGTTCTAATAACTGATTGATTACACGGCAAATAAATAAATATCGGACACAACAATCGGGGAAGGGAAATTTTAACGGTCGAAGATACATTTTATCAGCCACCAAAATTCTAACATCGCGGAAAACTATGATATACACATTTCAATAGTATTGTACATGCAATTGGAAGCTGAAACAGAAATAGATTTTAAAATCAATATTTAGTTTTATTAAAATTAACAAATTAATGTTACTTAATACTTTTCAGAATTTAATAATGGCTTCTACAGCAATGCAAGCGGCGACCACAGCAGCGTCAACACAGAATGTCACCCACTTGTATGATACATATACTGATATGTTTGTTCATCCACATTGGAAACAGTTTCCACCAATTGCACCAGCTTGGCATAATTTTATTGGTATATTTATCACATTTGTTGGAATAAGCGGTTGTCTTGGTAACTTTGTAGTTATCTACACATTTAGCAAGTAAGTGGATATTGTTGTTTGTTTTAACAAAAAGAGCGGGTTTTTGTGGTTTATTTGTCTAATTAACAATTGTTTATACTAATGGAAACAGACTTTAAACCACAGTTTAAATAGTTTATCTTCGCAATGGTCTAAAATGTTTTCACCAACCTTAACAGAAGTTGTCGAGTCTGTACATTTATCGGTTGTTTGTTGACATATTTGCTCAACATAATAATCATTTTGGTCGATTAATGGGAATAGACATTAAGCAAAAGGTTAAATCGTTTATCTTTACAATGTCCAATGAGAGAGAGAGAGAGAGAGAGAGAGAGAGAGGGGGAGGTGTATTGGGTATTCTGTAAAGAATAAACAACCCATGTCTCGTGTCTCGTGAAAGAAATACGTCACTACTTATATAAAGTCAATCGGATTAAAATCGGATATTATTTTCGTTCTGTCTATTCGGATTTTCATATCATTAATCACACTGATCCGCAGTGAATATTCGCTTGGCCGCTACATTTACTGATAAGGATGACATCGATGCGACTTAATGACTACAAAATATTGACTTTTTTCTTTCGACAAATTAAATTCTGAAACATTTTTTTTTAGTATTAGAAAAATAAATAAAGGTGTTTGAAGTATATCTTGATAAAAAATATTCCATATTTAGCGTAAATAGGTACAGAAAATAGTACGCTGAGGCGTAAAATGGGTAAAACGATAAAATTTTGCCCGTACCAGTTCATATTACTACGTTCGATGTAAACAACGCACGTGTGACCATCAATTTGACGTTTTTTTCTGTTTGTTTACTCTGAATTCTTTCAGAAGTACATTTTTTACCGTCTAATCTGATTGACCTGCTCGTGTTTGTTTTAAAACAACAAAAACAAGCCACAGAAGTAATCTTTTTTGGCGTTATTGATGCCATCTTGCTTTGTTGGTAAACATTGTGATGTGACGTCACCCTCAGAACTACAGCGGTCTGACCTTTTAAAGGTCAGTCATCTTGGACAGCGATAAAAGACGGATGTCGCATTAGGTCTGTAAAACAGATTGATCATTAATATCTAAAGACATGTTTCAGAATAGCACGCCCAGGGCCTATAAAGATCGTATAATACCATGGGCTTTGATTATAGACAACCAATTAAACATAGAAAACCAAAGCTTTTCATAAGTTTGGGTACATTTTGCTTGACTTAAGAATCAATTGCCTCCATCTTGTAAATACCGTAACCCATTTCGCATATGTTATAGCCTATTGTATATATGTGTTGTTATGCCTTGGGTTTTTAAATACAGTTATGTTCTGATCTGTTCTATTCTTAGTTGGTTGACCAAACCCAATCTGTGCCTTACTGAACGTCCCCCATAAAGCAATGCGTTCAGGTCAAGATGAAGCGAACTCAACAACCGAAAATAAGAATGAACGAAATGTTGGTTGACTGATATGCATGTATAGCTAAACAATGCTATGGTTTGGGCTTTGACTTCAGAAGCAACAGTTAATAGTCACAAGGGAACCAACAAAGATTATTTTCCTCAGAATATCCCCAGAGTTGGCCTGATCTGTCATAAGAGCTACGTGTAAATTGCTATCACATCTTTCATATCTGGTCATTTTGTTCTCTTTATTTTTCTAGAACAAAATCTCTGCGAACAGCATCCAATATGTTTGTAGTAAACTTGGCTCTCAGTGACTTAACCTTTTCTGCAGTAAATGGTTTTCCTCTGTTCAGCTTATCAGCATTTAATCATCGGTGGATATTCGGCAAAGTTGGTAAGCAGTAAGGACACGCAAACTCTTCGTGATTAGTTGTTCTAATAATCAGTAATTATCTGTATAGGAAATAAGATCAATTATCACGCTATATATATTGGATCAAACACATCATTATATATCTATATATATATATACTTTACTTGCTTACTTATATACATGTATGTATATCCCAAAAGATAGGATGAATGAATCACGTAACATTGTGATTCGAAATTATTAACTATTCAAATCAAATTCAAGGATGCATTATTATATTGGCAATAAAAATATAGATTGGAAATAATGTTACTTTAACAACTTTGCTCGGTCGGTATCTTTATAAACAAATTATTTTTCCCGTCTTTCAGCGTGTGAATTGTATGGTTTAACTGGAGGAATATTTGGTCTGATGTCCATCAACACAATGGCTGTGATATCCATTGATCGGTATTTTGTCATCACCCGACCATTCTCGGCAATGCGTAACATGACACACAAACGTGCCTTCCTGATGATCGTATTTGTATGGATATGGTCCATTCTTTGGGCTATTCCACCCATTTTTGGTTGGGGGGCATACATTCCCGAAGGTTTCCAGACATCGTGTACCTTTGATTACCTGACCCGTACCGATAGCCAGAGATCCTTCATCATGAGTATGTATTTGTGTGGATTTGTTCTTCCTCTAGCAATTATTGTCTTTTGTTACATTTTCATCATCAGATCCGTCATGAACCACGAGAAGGAGATGCACAAATTGGCTGATAAACTCGATGCTAAGGATGCTCGCGGTGACAAAGAGAAAGCGAGAGCAGAGATAAAGATCGCAAAAGTATCCATGACCATCATTATTTTGTATTTACTGTCTTGGACCCCATACGCTATAGTTGCTCTCATCGCCCAGTGGGGACCGGCTAGTTGGGTCACTCCATTCGTCTCAGAAATACCCGTCCTCTTTGCTAAAGCATCTGCTATGCACAATCCCATCGTCTACGCTTTGAGTCACCCCAAATTCCGGGATGCAGTCAGTCGCTTGATGCCATGGTTCCTATGCTGTTGTGCTTTAAGCGAAAAGGAAAAGAAACTCCGAGACGAAGCTAATAGGAATAAGTTGTCCAGAATGACCAGTCAGACCAGCAATATTTACAGTGACGGGTCCAGCGTTATGAGTAACCTGAGCGATACCACCTGTCCAAATAACGGCGGCATTGAAATGGGTCCCAGTGGACGACAGGGAAGCAGACGTATGCGTGACGTCCAAGAAACATCCATGGGAGTAGACAATAATGGTGATTTAATCAGAGATATACTACAAGCATTTGTTGGTGTTGTTCAGGGGAGAAACAACCAACCAGCTGCTCCACCACAGGTACCCATGTATGTTCAATATCCATACGGATTACCAGCAGAGCTCATTGGACCAGATGGCCACCCAAGGCAAGACGTATATTCTATTTCCCAAGGCGCAATTCCTTCGGGTATAGATCCAAGGGTCTTGCAACAGTTAGGCATACCCACTGGGATTACACTGTCCAAAGATCAAATCTATCTGCCGAAGGATGAAAATGATATGCCCCCACCACCAGAGCGATCCCCACAACGGTCTCCAAATAGAGAATCGACCCCAATCCCTGGACAGGTTCCAACGAACACTCCAGCAGCTGTCCTTGAGACGCAACAAACAACTGACGTTGGACACGACAACAAAACATTTGAACATGAGCTATAAAAAGCATAAAATGGGGTAAGTAAAATCTTTAAGATACCGTAATTGATGAAATACGTGTGACTAATGGTCGTTGAATACAAAAAACAAAGCCAGCTATAAAGGAAAAGGGCAGTCGTTGGTAGCGTATTGAGAGTGGTGGAGCTAAATTTGATTTAAATATGGGTCGTTTGTGCGGTCATTTACAGCGAGCAGTCGATGAATAGGAGTGACCGTTTTAGCACGATTGAGTGTATAGGAATGAAAAGTTTTAAAAATTCGAAATGTTTTATAGATGGCGCAAACTAGTTTGATTTATGCCCCAGATTATTTTTGATTTTTCATCTAATTTGGTAACATACAATTTTTGGGTCCAGGACGACAGTATCCCATTTTGTTTTCGTCATGGAAAATAAAACATTTTTTTATAGTGGGGTGATTAGGGATTATCTACAGATATCTTTCAGTTCTATTTTTAGCCATGTCATTAAGAATAAGATGTAAATATTGTATATTTATCACAAGAAAATAGACAAGGCTAATTTAGTGAATGGACAATATCTCAATGAATCCAACCAATTAATTGTAAGATTAAAAGCATGATCAATGCCTTGACATTGACCATGTTGCTTCCTAGACGTAAAAAATAAAGCGTTTGACTTTTCCTCGACAATAAATAGCAGTAATAATTTTACATTTCAGAGATTTTGTAGAATGGAATTTAGATGAATAGACAGGCACATGTAAATAATACTGTATATATAGAAAGCCTTATCGTATATTACTCGCACATTTCATGCTCTTTAACAGATATACCGGGATAATCCATCTGTACATATATATATTACCCCGATATAATAGGTATCGAGTTCGAGATCTGCGCTATTTATTAACAAATTGGTTGATCGGTGACTGACGACCAATCCGTATATTCTGATGGAAAATACAATTAGACATTTGTGATAATTTGACAATCTACAGAAATCACATTTGTTATATTAGCCTAATAATATCTGCAGAAATAATATTTGTTATCTTAGCCTAATTTGTAAATAATATTATGTTATAGTATGAAGTATGTCTACTTGTAACTAACGATCCAATATGTTTTCAATTTGTGTAATATTTTTTTGCAATCGTTGAAATAGGTGCAAATAAAATGTAAGTTTAATTATATTCCTGTGGAAGAGTTTAATTCTGGGTCTTCTATTAAATATAACAACCAAGTAATGTATATTAAGTAATAACATTGTCCGTTATGTTGTACATTGTATTATTTGTGTCCTTGATTCTTAGCCATACAAATAAAGGTTTTAAATAAAGATTTTTCGTTTAATTTATTGAGGTGTAAAGTCAATAAGCGGGAGAGAGGGAATGGAGAGAGAGAGAGAGAGAGAGAGAGAGAGAGGGGGGGGTCTAGCGTCCACTCGAAACAATCTAGGCCATCTCGGAACTAACATATTGTTCAATTGTATTTCAATAATTCACTTGCGGGTAGGGGTCTTTAGTAGTGGGAGGAAGCCGGTGGACCCGGAGAAAACCCACTGGGTTGGATAGGCGATCCTACTCCTTGTCACGTACAAGCGGGGATTTGAAACCACGCCACTTGGTTCAATGACAGACCTTATGACTTCACTCGCACGCGTTAAAGCACTAGACCCCACCCCACCCTGTCAATAAGCGATTCTTATTGAAATGTTTATTATACATGTCGGTACTTATCCCCACCAGTAGTTAGGTTGTACGAAAAGACATGAAAGGCTATCAAAAGTTTGTTCAACTGGGTCATTAGTATAATTATACACCCAGGGATATCAGTAAGTGTACAAATTGACATGAACTTGACAGAGTTTCCAGAACCCTTGACAATTGGAATTCGAAATAAGAATAGGTCGTAGAGCTGCTGCCAGGGTAAAATGTCTCCACACTACATGGCGTAGTCCCGTCTTCACCAGATCGTCAAAAGTCCTAACCACTTCCATTGTATTAAAAGAAAGTTCCAGCCAGGATCTTGAATTCTTACTTTCATTGCAAGGTCATATTATGTAATCGAAATCCGCGTGCGATTGACAAAGCAACAGCTTTGTGATCATTGTAGTCACAACATAGGTCATACCGCGTAGCCGACATTTTTAATCGCGATCGTGGATCTATTCCACAGATAAATGCAATTAAAAATTTAGTAAAATTTACTTATCACGCACCAGACAAAATTCTTTCCAGAAATTCAATCGTGTTAATTTAAATTGTTCAAGAATACGTCGATAGAAAAGTAAATTTAAGTAAGTCTTAGTTAATGGTAATTCAGTTATCCATCCATAAAAAAAAAATGTTTCCCGTGCAGCGAAAATTTTCTCGACTGAAATTTGAACTGGACACCGCGAATGTGCACGCTTCGGTGGCTTGTCTCGAAGTGATTTCTGGCTATGCTATAGCTACGAGAACGTAGCTAAAAACGCTGAGAAATACTGATGTGCTTGTTTTTAGCTACGATTGGATGCTTTTAGTTCCAAGTGACAAACTCAATTTCTTTATTAATGTATGTACCATCTTAAAATAAGTTAATTGTTCAAGAATACGTCGATAGAAAAGTAAATTTAAGTAAGTCTTAGTTAATGGTAATTCAGTTATCCATCCATAAAAAAAAAATGTTTCCCGTGCAGCGAAAATTTTCTCGACTGAAATTTGAACTGGACACCGCGAATGTGCACGCTTCGGTGGCTTGTCTCGAAGTGATTTCTGGCTATGCTATAGCTACGAGAACGTAGCTAAAAACGCTGAGAAATACTGATGTGCTTGTTTTTAGCTACGATTGGATGCTTTTAGTTCCAAGTGCCAAACTCAATTTCTTTATTAATGTATGTACCATCTTAAAATAAGTTAATTTTATACTATTAGTACTTATTACACATACGCAGTCCAATCTACTGAAACAACATTCATTTATCAGCAAATATTGACAATAAAGTAAATAAAGCGTTGTTTTTATCAAAATTGATTCGGACGTTCATAATAACGCCGTATTACTACTGCGCAACTCTGATTAGATGGGTACTTTGGTTGGCTATTGCACACGAGGCAATGTGTTAAAGACGTAAATTTAAAATGTCGGAAAAAGCAATCTACTGTCGCTTTGATTTAAAAAGAGGGGATTTGTACCCGTTTCGGGTAGGATTATATGCTTAATTGTAGTTGGGTGTGGCAGAAATATTATAAATAACAATAACCAATCGTTGTTTTGATTAAAAATATTGTCAATTTTGTTTACAAACGCCGGGTGCGATTCGCTACCGCATGTGCTACATTGAAGGTAATAGCATCATCTCTTATCTCGAAACACGGAGGGTTGAGAGGTAAGGTTTGTTATCTAGCTATGCTAGTCCCCCGGTACGATAACAGGGTCTATATAAATATTGTGGTGTAATTGTAAAGATATTTGGAGATATTTATTTATGGTGGGTCTGGCTTCTTATTGGCCAAATTTGAAATTTTACATTTTTACGGTAAATTGCTAATACTAAATTCAGTAGACGGATAAAGTTCAAGTGAAGACAGATTTTAATATGATGATTCCACTGACAGATTTTAGAAATGATTCCACTATAACAGATTTTAAAATAATGATTACTATAACATTTTAAAATAATTACACTATTACACATTTTAAAATGATTACACTATTACACATTTTAAAATGATTACACTATTACACATTTTAAAATGATTACACTATTACACATTTTATAAGCGGTTGCCATGCAAGATTTTTACGGTAAATTGCTAATAATAAATTAAGTATTCCACTATGACAGATTTTAAAATGATTCCACTATTACACATTTTAAAATGATTCCACTATTACACATTTTAAAATGATTACACTATTACACATTTTAAAATTTTAAACATTTTAAAATGATTACACTATTATACATTTTAAAAAGATTACACTATTAAACATTTTAAAATGATTACACTATTAAACATTTTAAAATGATTACACTATTAAACATTTTAAAATGTTTACACTATTAAACATTTTAAAATGATTACACTATTACAGATTTTACAAGCGGTTGCCATGCAAGATTTTTACGGTAAATTGCTAATAATAAATTCAGTAGACGCGAATTTTCGTACAATAAGGGGTCATAAAGTTACGGTCTGATACCCGAAGGTATCGAAGGGAACCCAGATATTTCAGATATAAACATATTTTAGGTTTCATCAAAATCGGATAAAAATTGTGACCTTTAGAGGGGAGAGAGAAATGGGGTTTCAGGCCCACTCTACACAAACTAGGTCATTTCGGGACTAACATATGCTTTAATTTCATTTCAATAATTCGCTTGCGCGTAGGAGTCTTTAGCAGTGGGAAGAAACCGGAGAAAACCCACGAGGTTGGACAGGCGACCCTACCCCTTGTTGAGTACAACCGGGAAATCGAAACCACACTAGTTGACTCAATGACAAACCTTAAAAAACAACGCGCACGCGCTAACCGTAGAGGGTCCGCAACTTTGGTAAAACATACTTCTTTTACACTATTTGCATACGTGGAGCGGTCATTTTGTCAGGCAGTTTCCGTCCGATTTTCACTAGGGTGTACCAGTGATATAATTGAACTTTTTTAAAAATCATATAAACATTGGGACCACAACCTAAAAACGAGGTTTTTCATACAATCTGGAGTCATGATCCAGGAAGTTACAGTCCAATGAATATACGTGAATATCGAAAGGAATCAGGATCTTTGGGTTATAAACATACATTTTAATTTTAATCAGAACATTTTCGGATAGAAATTGTGACCTATAGGTGTCCAGAAGCTAAAACCTGATTTTTCGAACAATCAGGGTCCATAATCCATAAGTTACAGTCCGATACATACCAATATCGAAAGGAACTCGGATATTTTCGAAATAAACCTATATTTCAAGTTTCATCAAAATCGGATAAAAAATGTGACCTGTGGACCGGACGGACAACAGTGACGACAATACATGTCAACGTGGTAATGTGGGCGTATAAAATGATTTCACAATAACATATTTTAAAATTATTACACTATTACAGATTTTAAAATGATGATTGCACTATAACGTCGTTGGATATTAAATGGGACTTGAAGTGTTAATTAGTATGGAACAAATATATCATATTTATAATGTGTAAATTATTGTATTTTATCGTATACATTGTATATCTTACGAATTTTCTGTGTAAATTATTTAATGTTATTTAATAAAAGCTATATGTGTTACAATCAATGCAGTTTTCTACTTTTAAGTGAGAAATGGACTATAATTTATAACACCACTGTTCTCGAATTAACCCCGGATTAGTGGCAAAATATGACATGAAAGTCTGCCAGCGTTCCGGGAACACCCAACTATAACACATTTTAAACAGATTTTAAAATGATTACACTATTACAGATTTTACAATGATTACACTATTACAGACTTAAAGTAGCTAAGTCTCTAACTCAATATCATCCCAAGTCTTCCACATTGAAAACACGATTGATGTTGTGATCTTACCAGGAAAAGATGGGCATTTGATATCCAATATTTAAGACAAAATAAACATTTTACCATTGGTACACGAATTGTGTACCATAAGGCGTTTCAGCACCATTTGTAACAAGGGACTCGAAGAACAAGTCTAGACATATTCCTCAAGTCATGTCAAACTCTGATGACATAGTCTTAACTGAAAAGCGGGCCCTGTGTTCGATCCCGGAGTCCCCGGGAAATTTCATTGTGATTTTCCGGCGGCGTGGTTCCCCCTCGTCAGTGGTGTAGGACGGAGTGTCTGACAGGAGACAGCGTATAGTCGTTGGTGGGGACGCATTGGCGTGCAGATAAAAGAACCCTTGACAGTTGGAATTCGAAATAAGAGTAGGTTGTAGCGCCGCTGTCCTGGTTAGCCCAGTCGGTGCAGAAAAAGTAGGAAGTTTAACCCCAATTTGATCATTTCATATCTAAATTCGGATGTTCTTACCAATATTGGTTCACATTTGTATTTTATAGTATGTGGAAGAGAATTTTAGTACTTAGAAAAGAGTGTGTTTGGTTAATGATGCAACATGGTAACTTACTGCCTACCCCATCCTTAGTAATAAACCCTTTTCTTACAGTTTTCTTTAAAAACACGTTACCATAATTAAACATGCATTATGAAAGGGCTAAATCTGCCTATTGCAAGTCTTTCTTTAGGTCTTAAATGTTATCTAAATTATTAATTAGACATTAAGTAATTTATCAAGATCATAATCACTCTCAATATCATCGTTAGCCTGCGATATTTAGTGGATTTGAATACGTTTTCTGATGGATGATATAACGTAAAAATGGATAATCAAGACTTTGTTTATTATCGTATCAACATTATAATGACGATTGAGGCCAGTCTAAAATTGAATCGATAATATCTCGGTTCTGAGTGAAGCAATTTGACTGAAATTTCCAGCATAATAATTCTGTTATCATAGTTTGTTGATACGGAAATTAAACAGATTATTGCTTATAATGTGACGTATATAGGCCAGTTCTCCACGTACATATTTTTGTTGCATTTCCGTGTGTGTCGGTCTAATGCAAATGTAATGGGACTGTTCCATGTAACCGCCGAAAACATGTACATGAAAAACTAGCTAAAGGAAAGACTAATCCCTGACACAAAATTGCGCCTTGGTCAATATTTTTGAAGGTATCCACATTAATCATAATATAAGTCTATGGGTACCCAAATAATAAAACAGTCAGTATTCACTAGACCTTCATTAGTCTCCTTTGTCTTAATAAAATAGGTCCCCTGGCTTGGATAAACAGGGTATTACTGCTACCTGTACTATGAAGTTTTAAATAGAAGAGAATAACTTTGCTAAAAATAATTTATTACATAATAATAAAGTTATTTATCCTATTGTGATATCACTGGGTAGATTTAATTGTTGAAATGAATAAAAGGCCACATCGCCATTATCTAAAACGGCCCAATGGACAGGAACTCCATCTTTTAATGTACCTTCATGAATATCTTTTAAATTTGGAACATCATCAGTACTTCTGAAATAAATAATTATACTCTCAGAGTGAAAGAGGAATAAAATCAATACCCATCATGGATTTAACCTTTCACCTGAACCATGGATGAAATCAATACTGATATGATTATATTCTGAGTTCAGTTTATTTGTTTAAATTTTAGCAGGGCATCAAGTAGGTTACATGAGATATACACAGAACCTTGATTTTCCTCACAGGGTCATTACAAATATGCAATTAGATTACAGGTGAATGGTAGGATTCACATGCTACTTGGCCATGAAAATTATATTTGGAATGTGTTTAACCAGCTCTATCACATATGTGATAATGACTGGCACCAATATTGTCCTTTAAATTAAACCTTGTGTTGTGTGTCGATTGTTATATGTTTCTAGAAATGCAAATCAAATGATAAAGAAATGTCCTATTTACCAACTGCATAATGCAAACCTCAACTTACTTTTTGCCCAGTGTTTTTTGGGGGGGCTTCAAGTGTTATGTAAATTATTATTTATTCATATGACAATCCCATATTGAACTCTCTAGACTGTTAGATGGCCTATATCTGCATTAAATGTTAATATGACAAGGATTGCTGATAAAAGTACTGACATAATAGACTTTGTTTATTATCATGCAATGGCACCTGACAATCAAGACTATAAAATATTGGGAGTTTCCCTCAGCTTGATAAAGATGAGAGAACCCTTATTGAAATACCACTAGAAATGAATATCAAAGTAACTTGTATTCCATATAATTGTCTGCGATATCACCTTGGTGGAAGCGGACGTAAAAAAAATACAATCCATATAATCCATACAAACAATCCATATAATTGTGTCATGTTCAGTTGTTTACACTAATGAATGATATGACAAACCTGGGTTAACCACATAGACAGTATTATCAAGACATTACAATATTAATCAGTTGGGGAAACATTATGCCAATCAAAATAAAACCTACCCTTTATATATTTTTGAAAGATTATCAAGTCAGACCCAAAGTGATAATGAGGTTTAATGTCCATTAATTTAATACAATCTAGGTCAATTTGGAACAATTTGAATTTCAATAATTCTCTTGACAGGAGGGGTATGTAGCAGTTGGAGAAAACCAGAGGACTTGGAGAAACCCCCAAGTGCTTGGACAGGCAACCCTATTTCTTGTCACATTCATGCTTTGGACTGCCACCACTCATCAATTTTCTAAGCTAGATACGACCAAGATTATTACCTTGTTATACAGACTCTATGATTAGGTTTACCAGGATCTGTCTTTCTAAATTTAGCATCTGGTAAAAACACATCAAATGATATCTTAAAACTGGAATCAAACTCAGTCGGGTTCTCTCTAAAAAAAAAACAGTAACAATTTAATACAAGTCTTCAACACATCCAACAGCGTTTTGATTTTTTAAAATTCCAAAGCAATAAATGTGTCATTTATGTTAGAGAGGTCTTGAAATGGGCTATCAATATCTTCATCATATCACAACTTGCTTCAGTATACACCTACATATACATGGAAACTTGTAATACCGCTGGAATACCAGTACTACTAAAGAAGGAAAGAAGAAAACTGGGGTTAATGTCCACTTGACATAAACTAGATCATTTCGGAACTAACATATTTCAATAATTCGTTTGTGCATAGGGGTCTTGAGCGGTGGGAGGAAACCGAAGAACGTGGGGAGAAAAACCAACGAGGTTGGACAGGCGACCCAACTCCTGTCACGTACATGTGGGGAATCAAAACCATGCCACTTGACTGAATGACAGATCTTCTGATCTAATGCCCACACGTTAACCATTCAGCAACCACCCCACCCCCCTCCCCCAGTAGTACTACATCTATGTATTATCTGAGTAAAGAGTAAAAAACAAAACCTTTCAGTCTAATTTGTCATAATCTTTGCAACACGAACAATTGTCTATTAAAATGTTACTGTGTTTATCTATTATTAAAGTAATAATACAAGATACCTTTTTAATATTTCCTCTTCAAAGACTTGAATAACTTGCAGCTTACTTAGAATATTAGCTGTAAAAAATTAAATACATTTATTTTTATGAATATTACCAAACTGAGGTAATAAAAAGTTCCATATGTTGACTTTTTCTTTCCATAAAAAAACTTGTTATGGTCTTCTATACTTAATTGTATTTCCATGTTCTTAATCTTTACCAAAATTAGACCAGGGGACTGCAATGTTTATATAATTAGGGGACTAGACTCATCGCAAGAATGTACTGAAAACCAATGCACAGAGACTAACCTTTGTTTAGGATCAGGACTCGCACTGGCTTTCAATTTTTGTCCGCCAAAATAGATAATTTTTATATAAAAAAAAAATGTTCATATTTTTTTCCACCAACTGAAATATTTTATTTGCCAAAAATCTATACAAATATTTGTGACTGTCGTTTGTCTGTCTGTCTGTCTGTCTGTTCGGGGTTGGTGGCTACACTAGGTCTGCCCCGAGTCTGAAATTTGGGGTATAGGGGTAGCTCGGACCGGGGAGTAACATAGGCCAGGTGGCGTTAGTCTACCACTTCCGGTTTTGGAGTTATGACCCCCGAGCGAAGCCGGGTATTTCGGGGTTGGCAGCTACACTAGGTCTGCCCCGAGTTTGAAATTTGGGGTATAGGGGTAGCTCCGACCGGGGAGTAACATAGGCCAGGTGGCATTAGTCTACCACTTCCGGTTTTGGAGTTATGACCTCCGAAGCGAAGCCGGGTATCCTGCTAGTGTGTGATAAAAAAGACAACATCTAACAATTTTATGTCTCAGCTAGGCTTATTATAAAACAATTACCGATATACAACAACTTTAAAATCTGTTTTTACATAATAGATTAGCAAAGTTTGGATTTCATAAGATCGGATTTTATTTTTGGTGACTTTAGTCTATTTGAACACTGTACTGCACAATATATTTTCAGTATTTTACACGTCAAATCTCATCCAAGGATTGCCAATTTTGGCGACGATAATACATGTATAATACAAATGGCGAACTTTTTTCTCTCAACAATCGTCACTATTATCGACCCACGACGACCAGTGGTGATAATATAATTTGAAATAATGATATCCGATAGGCATGCTTGTATATTTTACATGCCGTATATGAAGCCAATGTAAACAGAATTCAGCCATAAAAATATTTAATTCTCTTTGAAAAGAACTGTCGGACATTTTGATTACATGTATTACCTTTTTTATTTAAGACGAAACGAAACATAAAATCACTGCTTGGATTAATCATTAGGAGTAAATAATGACTTGAGATAGGCTTTATATATATCATTGGCAATTATCAATCAATTAATCATTAATCCAAGATAATGTATTAGTATTACTCATTGACACGAACGCGATCCACATTATCAGCCAGTTGATTAATTTATAGTATCCCACCATGTGATTGAAACTCAATAATGGTTAATCCAGGATAAATACGATTAGAATTTTAAGATTTTTTTTACGCCAGTTCTCAAAAAGAATCGCCAGTACCACAAAACACTATCGCCAAAATCAAATTTTAATCGCCACTTTCAAATTGAGCCCTGTTTAGGATATTTCAAGTCTGGTTCATATTTTTCAGGGGTGTTCTAGCTGTTCAAACGGGATGACAAATTGAACATTTCTTAAATAGATCAAATTACATGTAAATTTACCTGTAGATGTTGCATCTTCAGGTCTAATAAGGGGAGTTACTTCCCCTTGCCATAAAATATCTGCTGGTGAATCTGTTTCTAGACATTGTTGAGCTGTCTGTCTGTCTGTCTGTTCGGGGTTGGTGGCTACACTAGGTCTGCCCCGAGTCTGAAATTTGGGGTATAGGGGTAGCTCGGACCGGGGAGTAACATAGGCCAGGTGGCGTTAGTCTACCACTTCCGGTTTTGGAGTTATGACCCCCGAGCGAAGCCGGGTATTTCGGGGTTGGCAGCTACACTAGGTCTGCCCCGAGTTTGAAATTTGGGGTATAGGGGTAGCTCCGACCGGGGAGTAACATAGGCCAGGTGGCATTAGTCTACCACTTCCGGTTTTGGAGTTATGACCTCCGAGCGAAGCCGGGTATCCTGCTAGTGTGTGATAAAAAAGACAACATCTAACAATTTTATGTCTCAGCTAGGCTTATTATAAAACAATTACCGATATACAACAACTTTAAAATCTGTTTTTACATAATAGATTAGCAAAGTTTGGATTTCATAAGATCGGATTTTATTTTTGGTGACTTTAGTCTATTTGAACACTGTACTGCACAATATATTTTCAGTATTTTACACGTCAAATCTCATCCAAGGATTGCCAATTTTGGCGACGATAATACATGTATAATACAAATGGCGAACTTTTTTCTCTCAACAATCGTCACTATTATCGACCCACGACGACCAGTGGTGATAATATAATTTGAAATAATGATATCCGATAGGCATGCTTGTATATTTTACATGCCGTATATGAAGCCAATGTAAACAGAATTCAGCCATAAAAATATTTAATTCTCTTTGAAAAGAACTGTCGGACATTTTGATTACATGTATTACCTTTTTTATTTAAGACGAAACGAAACATAAAATCACTGCTTGGATTAATCATTAGGAGTAAATAATGACTTGAGATAGGCTTTATATATATCATTGGCAATTATCAATCAACTAATCATTAATCCAAGATAATGTATTTGTATTACTCATTGACACGAACGCGATCCACATTATCAGCCAGTTGATTAATTTATAGTATCCCACCATGTGATTGACACTCAATAATGGTTAATCCAGGATAAATACGATTAGAATTTTAAGATTTAATTTACGCCAGTTCTCAAAAAGAATCGCCAGTACCACAAAACACTATCGCCAAAATCAAATTTTAATCGCCACTTTCAAATTGCGCCCTGTTTAGGATATTTCAAGTCTGGTTCATATTTTTCAGGGGTGTTCTAGCTGTTCAAACGGGATGACAAATTGAACATTTCTTAAATAGATCAAATTACATGTAAATTTACCTGTAGATGTTGCATCTTCAGGTCTAATAAGGGGAGTTACTTCCCCTTGCCATAAAATATCTGCTGGTGAATCTGTTTCTAGACATTGTTGAGCTTTCTTCAACTTACTTTTGTATTCTTTCCAATTACTTGCACTAACTGTTGTTTTAGCTTTAACCCAGTCTGCATACGAAAAATGCAAGTCTTTGTCAACAGGATTCGTAGGGTCAAATCGTGGTACAGAATACTTAGCCTGGTGTTCTAAAACATTAAATTCACAAGATTCCTCAATTTTTATTCCTTCAGGGAGATACTGTTCAAGGGGCACATTCACAGTCACATGATCTGCATTTGCTATGTTAGGGAAGCAGATCTGAGAGAAGTCCCATTTCGTTTGTTCTAAAGACAAATTGGCCGATGCTTTTGAAGAGCAAAATTTATTGATATCACAATGTAGAGAATCAAATTCGTTTTTTACAGGATTGTTTAATTGGTTACTTCTGTTTCGATTATTTTCACTTTTATCACAAATTTTACCCTCTTCTGTGAATTCTTCATTTTTGTCTATAATGAAACCACAAATATCACTAGTTTCTGTTTTGCTTGAAAGTTCTTTATCTGGAGAAACCAAAAAATCATCCTCAACATCATCATCTGTAATGTCACATTCTTTGTCATTCTTTTTCCTTTGTTTTTCCAACCGCATTGATAAATCTTCATCACACACACCATCAGCTATATGGTTAATATTTTCATCAACACTATCAATATTTCTATTCATTTCTTTTTTCTTTCTTTTTCTCTTTCTAGGTTTGCTGACATGCTGATTTAATTTAATAGAAACTTCATAATCTGTAGACCTTAAGTTAAAAAGTTTAAAAGATAAATTGCAGAACTTTCTTCAGGCCTTAATTGTTATATAAAGTATTAATTAAACATTTATTAACTTGCAAAGACCATAATCAACTCTTAATGCCATTGGATGCTTTAGTATTTCAAAGAATTTGAACATAATTGGCAGTTAATCATTTAATTAAAAAATGGATAATCAAGACTCTGTTTACTATCGTAACAACGGTAGCAATGTCGATCGAGAATCTGCTATTCTCGAAACAGCCCTAACGTCACTCAGAATGAAGTAAAATGACTGAAATTTTCAAGATATTCCCTTTTCATTATCTGGTTTTTAGCTATTGTAGCAAGAACTGTCAGCTCTTTATCTAAATGTTACGTAATGCATTTTTAATACAATTAAGACCTGAAGAGTTTATTTACTACAAGGATATAACAACTTCATTTTTACGTGAAAATAAATAGTCATTGATATGACAGTATCTAAGAGTTTCAGGATATGAAATAATGACTTAAGACATGAACTTTATTATCAAATTATTAAACATATTAGGATTATCGCATCATATGTCCTAATATTTAGCATACATGTCTATCAATGCTTCCTCTGATAGTAATTTTCAACAATTGATCTCTGAAGTATTTCAGGGATTAAGAAAGAAGTTACAGCAGCAAAATCTTACATGAAATTTAATTGATTCTACAACTATTAAGGAAGACATACAGAAAAAGAAAATATTAACACGCAACTATATATATCTGTTTAACAGGATATCAAGAAAGACATAAATCTTACAATGGTTGATGTCGTCTGACTAGGTATCCATGGCGACGTAGATGACAATAAACCTGATACTCCTCTAGATTAATACCATGAGACATAAACTCATTATAAGCTTCCTCAATACTCAATGGAATATCATTATAGGCTACTTCTAACATATTCTAAAATAAATAGAAAATAGGTTTCAAAAATTAAACACAGGTTGACAGGCCATGAAATATAAGCCTGCTTGTATCACTGTCAATAGTGCTTTAATAACAATTATTCAAAAACATATTTATATGATACTCTAAAACATTGATTGTGACAAGATTTTAATTTTGATACATGTATATATATTACTTACTGATTCCATTAAGAATAGGGCTTCCTCAGGATACAGCCATTTCCTTTTATGATCTACAAAACCCATGTTACTCCAAAATTTACCCTGCATTGAAAAGTTCGAAATATAATTTACATCACTGTTAATCTACTGTACTCACCAAGATGAGTACCTCTGAGTTTCTAAATTTCTGGGAAAACTGTTATTCAAAACAATGCACATTTGTCAGTAAACAAAAAAGAGGAGTTCAGAGTTTTGCTCATAGAAATTCCATAAGGTTCAGGCCTTGGGCTCAAATGAGTAACCATACCACACTTGTCAAAATTCCAGTGAAAAGATTTTCCTGTACAATCATCACAAGCTTTAACTGAAAGATAACTTTACAAAAAGCATCATAATTTGTCAGCCAAAAATTTCAAAGTCTGATAAGAGTTTTTCTTTAATACCCACAATACAGTGATAAGAATATAAGTTCACATTAAATGTGGTCATATAATATGTAGAAATTTACCATTTCCCTTTCAAATTCTATCAAATACTTTTCTGGATTCCATATTCCCCGAACTAAATTACCTCTGAAAAAGAAACAACCTATGTAATGAACGATTACATAATTCTATGTTAAAAATAGGTAAATTCATATAAACAATACACAATGTGTAGAAATCCTGAAATATACTAATGTCCAAAAGAAAGCATACACTCAGTATTTCGTCCTGCTTCAAACAAAGTCATTTTTCCATTGTATGCGGTATTTGGGTACGATGTCAATTTGTTTTGCTATTTATTTGCTTAGAAATATTGAGTTTGGACGCAAAGACATGTTCAGTGTAGTTTTATCATATTTTGTTGATTTAAACAAAACTTAGTCATATTTTTAGTGTGTATACTTTCTTTTGAACATTAGTATAGTTAAAATTATCTGCCTGAAATTTGGTGATTATAGGTGCAAAACAAGAGTCATATTGAATAGGGTGGAGTTCAGAATAAAAATGTGCCCATTTGCCATTTACCTACATGTATTTTTCATAAAACATTGTACAAGTCTTTTGTTAGAACAAAAAAATTTTCTAATTTTAGACCATACTTACAATTTTTCTGTTCTTTGTTCTTTCAGTAATGCGTGTCTTTCTTCATAGTATGAAGATAGACGTTTAGCTTGTATCCATGATCCATCAAATTCAATTTCCTTACTGCCACCTTTCTGAGGTACACTATGGTCACATGTTAAATGATTCTTGAATAATTCAGAACCACTGAAAATAAAAATAAAAAAGCACATGACAAACATAAATTTATTTGCTCACATGTGGCATCCATTATACCTGAGAAAACTCTTGAGTAAAAATTTATCCAAGAGCACCATTTCAAAGATCAAAGAGGATTTAACAATCAAATATTTATTTGAATCAAATTCTATACTGTATAACTATTAGAGTTGACAACATAAGTACATGTAGGCCTACATGTACTAGTATTTTATGTCAATATCTTTTATTATTACGGTATTTCAAAGAAATCAACTTATTCAAAACTCAACAGACTAATCCTATGGCTAATTAAACACTTTATTCAACACTTTATTTTGACCATATGTGCATGTTTTGAGGCTGATTAACTCTGAGGTTAAGCTCCTTTATTAAGAAATGAAATGGGGTTTAAATGGCTCCCCTCCCTTTAAAGAACATGGTGGATCGAGACAATATGATGTAAACTTTCCTGTCAGTAAGCATACGCATCGAAGTGTTTCATTTGATTAGACCCAATCCCACTCAAGCACCGCTATACTCTGCACAAATTTCTGTTCCAAATTATGACTGGACAAATAGTCAGATTAACAACCAATACCTAACTGTGTAACAATATCATTCGGGTTTAAGCAGAGCTCCATATTTTGTTTACATCAGTGCATAGCAGATTATTGCAGAAAAACTAATTGCATGACAAACAAGGCTATCAAAAGCAGATACAATGTAAACAATACTGTATGGAGACGAACAATACTTTCACCGTTTTTAATACCTTAGATCACTGTCCAAAGTTTTAGGGAAGACCCCAGATTAAAAGAAGGGCTGTCATGCTGCTGTACTTAGGAGAGATTTAGTTGAACAGGAAGAATAGACACACTCCCTCAAAAGCTCAAGTATCATAAGTCAATCCAGCAACAGCCAGAGAGTGATTTCTCGAGCCATTGCTTCAGGAATATGGTAGGGTGCCCCGTGCAGCGAAAATTTTCCCTACAGAAAGTTGAACTCGACACGGCGAATATACACAATTCAGTGGCTTGTCTCGAAGTGATTTCTGGCTGATCACGCAGTGCAATAACACTCAGCATAAGAGTCTATGAGTCTATAAATACATGTAACCATCGCACGTGAAATTCTCTACACATCCATCAACTATTACAGCCGTAAAAAATCTATTATTGACGATTCTGAATAGCAGTAATATTTAGCTTTTTGGTTATTACAATTGCTTTATCATTAACTAAACCGTTAGGAGCGGCATCTTTTGGTTTAATACAAATAATATCTCTGAAACACTCGGGTTAGGCAAGAACATGATAATCAGACGGAGAATGGTCGGTAGACAGTTTAAGCAAGACTAATTTCAAAACAAGGGCACATAACCTATTTTTTACTCAAAAGTGCCTGGATGTTATGGCCGACACTTGTAAACATTTTTCAGTCTAATATTTATGGATGGTTAAATGGTCATATCTTATTAAGTACAACATGGCCGTTTATTTAGTGACTATAAATGTGAGAAACTGATTTAAGGCTTGGTATATATATATTTATTAATATTGTGGTGTAATTGTCGAGATATTTATTTATGGTGGGGCACCCTAAATATGCTCAGTTCAGTGAGTAGCTACAGTCATTATTATTATTGTCATGCATGAGACAGTGTATTCTTACTCTTTCAAGAACACCTGTATGTCCTCGCGCCACCCCTCATTTATTTATCTTACAAAAGTTAAAGTTCTATTGTCATAAACGTGAACTTGTGTTATGTCACTTATAAGTTATGATATTATTATTATTATCTGACATATTCATTCATATGACAATAATGTTGGTTTTATTGACTTGTGACTTACAAACTGTTTATTTAAGAAAAAAAAAAACATATAAAAATAACGTTGACCAAGGCAGTGATGCATTAATTTCAGAAAATCTACCTCAGGACAATGTTTGGATTCATCTTTATCAACTATTTAATCGTAAAGTGTATATTTCAAAACATTATAATGGGCGCTGCCATTTTTCTGTCCCGCGGTAAATGTTAAATTTACGCATGCGCAGGTGAAAAGTTTACAAATGGTGGAATGTTGCTGCTTTTACAAACAACTGTCAACAACAACCTTGTTAACCTGAAGATTATGTTACCTGCACAATGGAATAAAAACCGGAACTAAGTTAACTCGGATCTAATATGGATCGTAAGTTCGATATAGAAACAGACTTTTAGAAACATGCGGGTTGGCAAATTATATTTCTTGTCATAGTATTTTTAAGCTGGAAATTAAAAGCCAAAGGACCGACCCATTGATCCAATCAATTTCAACTAAACTTATTGAACTCAGTAATATTCATATTCATTGCTGTCATTCATATGTTGAAAGTTAATAGCAGTCCAGTCTTCAAAAGTGAATTGAACGAGGAAAATAACTAAATTGAACGAGTTAGATTATCCATTTTCTCTGATACATGTCTGCTGCAGCAAGGACAGTCTGTAGTGTCTATCCATCAAATCAATAGCAATGCAAATCACTCGGTAGCCCTATAGTATAGTAGTCATCATTTTGAAATTGTTGGCAGATATAAAAGTCTGTGGTTTCTATCACCACAGATGTAGGCCTACATATTACCGTTGAATAGAAGCCAGCAGTGGTTACTTCAACGTACTACCGGTACTTCAGACTAACTAATGTTTCTGTTTTGCTATTTACCCAGTTATGTGTTATGTTAGTACTAGTGGTGGTTGTCATGTGCAAGGCAGAGTATGGGTTTCTTTTGAACCATGAAGACCATGTTCTATTACACTATTTTGTCATGATCATATGTTTTAGTTTGATTGTCTTTTAGGATCAACAGTTCTATATTCTGGTACTTACAAAAGACTTTGAGTTACCGGTAGCCTACTTCTATATATATTCATCTTTCTTTTAGGAGGAAAATACAGTAAAACAAATAAAAAAACAGACAGCCGGCTATCAGCCAAGGTACGTTTTCTTCCGTGGACCAACTTCCATCAACATTGTATCGCAAGCCTGGACATATGAGGCAATTGTCACAGACTTTGTCCAGTACAAATTACTACACAATGTCTATATACAAGCCTGGACATACATGTACGACACCTGACAAATTATTACACAATGTATATGTTAAAGATACATGTATTATGTTGTGTGATAATTTAATTTTTGTTTTACAAAGTCTGTGACATGTGCCTTATTTCCAGGCTTGCAAATTGTACCACAGATATCTTTCATTCTTTATTAATAATTTACAGAATAACTTGTAACAAATCATTTCTAATGGATGTATATTTTATGCTATTATGTGGATGCACATGAACCATATATCTTTCTGTTATCAAAATAAGTACACACTCAGTATTATGTATTAATATTATGTACTTTGTTGTATTTTTCAGTCAGCTGCTATAATAGAAGAGGTGTTACCAGGATATGATGAATATCTGCTTTTACTTCAGGAAAAAAACAGGTAAGCTCAAGGCATATTCAATTGAACATTCAAGAATTGACTTCTCTCAATCCTCTGAAAGGTGTCAGTCGAGGAAACACAAAAATTTCGGGCTTCAAGACGTGCCAGCTGAATATTAATATTTGCGACCAATCACCACTTCTGATATGTTTGATTGGGTCTTGACATGACCCTATCATCTGTCATTTTGGAACCTTCCGGACTGGCAATCGAATATCCCCTTTGAATATTAATCCATGTTAATTTTTATTATCAACAAACATGCGTTACATGTACATGTAGTCGGCCCTAAATATAGGACCTGATTTTACTGTTACTTTATTTAATGTATTTATCGTGGATAAGCAGACTAAGAAGGAGTAATTGATGAACAGGATTGGAATATAGTGCAAATGCAGTTGTTGCATTGCTTTATATAATTAACTGACATATTGCATGTATAACCATGCAGTGAATTTCATATTTAATCATGAATGAATACTAGTAATTATTGAGATACTGTTGCTGCATGTCTTATTACCATGATTACAAAAAACAAAACATGTACATATTATTGGACTATGATTGTTTCAGATTAGTAAAGAAACTACGTAAAAAAGACAAGAAACAAGTAGACTTAGAGAGAAAAGAGCAGGGTTTTTCTCTGTATGTAAATGGAGCTAATGCTGAACTTCAACCAACAATTGATACATCCCCATCATCAGCTAGTAAATCTAGTAAACAGAAACTACCTAGAACAGCTGGAGGTGATTACTAAAAAAGTTTAAACATACTTTCCCGTGTATAAACTGTGTGATTTGATGATATATTTGGACTAATCATATTCAAACTAATTAATCTATCAAAAATTTGCTTCAAATCCCTCTCAGGAAAATACCTCCAGCTATAAATAAACTTTTGTTAGAAGCCATGGCTGTCACCTCAATTCATTGAGGCCTAAGTATATTCTTGATTATTTTCTGTCAACTTCTTTTGCACGTTGACACCCCTCAATGTTCCCAAAACTGCCTAACCGTTTGATTAAGAAATAATAACTGCTCCCTCAGTCAAGCTAACACACAATAAGCTGGCAGACGACAGTCGTGTTGCCAGTTAGTGATACTCTGACATTTTTGCCCAGTGCTTGCCCCATGGGTGTTTTTCGGGTAATCCAGTATTTTTCTAGCAAGACTTAGTGTTTATACTTTCCATACACAGTATACCAAATTTGCCATACTTTTATTGAAAATAACTACCCGATAAATACTTTCGGGACAATGTATCCACAATTCTACATTGTGAATGTATTGCTCAATTTACTTAATGGATTCATTCTTATAATATTCTCAAATTAGAACTGTAAAAGTTATCAAATATGGCAGATGTACCCTTTAACCTATATTTTGTGTTTAAATTTGAACTAGGCATACTACCCAATATAATCTTTGAATGACATTTAGCGATTGAACATAATATAACACAACACAGTTCTATGGATAACAATCACTATATTATATATACACACAACATTTCACTGGTCAGTCTCAAGTATTCAAGAACTGTGTTGTGTTATACTACCCAATGAGTTATAATCGTAGTTCATTGGCCATGTGTCAAAACACATACAGCATTCACCACTATCTAATATTAATATATTAGCTCTAACAATAAATTTAATCATTCTGTTAACTGTTTCAATTATTAAACCTTTCAGAAGTTCGAAAAGCACATGGACCTCTCACCCACAGAGATCTGGAATTTCTTGCTAAAGAAGAGAGAGAAAGAATGAGAGAAAGGCAACGAGCCAAAACAGCACCTACAAAAACTCGTAGAAAGAATTGGAATGTTGAATCAATAGAACTAACAACGGAAAAAGGAGCTAATAGAAGGATACATGCACCAGGTATGGTTCGATTTTATTTCGAATAGGAGATGGCTATGAATTGACCGAGATATTGAACAAGTATATATATATTGTGCATTTATCTGCTATAAAGATTAAAAATCTTTATCAGAAAACTGTCATAAAAAATTAGCCACATTTGATCATTTACTTGATTAACTATAATACCATCTCACAAAAACTTTCCAACAAAAATGTGGGAAATATTTTATTCGCCCAAGAATAGTTTTTATTGTCAGTTTAGATTTGCTGTGTAATTATAGCGAAAACCTTCGCTAAATCAGATAGCAATTATGGTTAAATCAAAACCATCAGACAAAACAATCACAAAAAACATTACTTTTCCTTTCTCAAGATTTTGATTAGCTAGCAAGAGAACTTGTTAGACTTATAAAACAATCAACCATAATTATGTCTGATGGTTAATTAGATTTTTTTATAATTTTATGCTAATTATTATAATCCTATGATTATGTATGCCAAATGTTTTTAACTATTCCAGAGATATTAACAGGAAGATATGAAGAAGATTTTGAATCTGATAATAGTTCTGATGGTGATATGGAAATAGATGCTGCAAATCATACCAGACCAACCTCACCTAGAAAAACAAGCTATGTCAAGAAGAAAGCGACTGAAATACGACAAGAGATGGCGAATAATAGAATGACATTAAATATAAATGATGTTAAGGTAAGAAGAAAACCGTTATAAAATATTTATACCTTATTTTGGGACTAATAGGATGGATTTCGTGGCTCGACAAGAATGACGAATAAAAGAATGACATTATATTATTATATAAATGATGTTAGGGTCAGAAGAAAACATTATAACAAACATATTTATACATCATTTTGGAACTAATAGGATTGACTTTGTTGCTCAGTGGGAAATGTGCTGGCTCACTAATCTAAGATCTGGGGTTTGATCCTTGTGTCTACCAAGAAAATTCCCTGAAACCAAGTCGGTATGCACATAAAAGAACCCTTGGCTATTGTAATTTGGAATAAGAATAGGCTGTTGTGTCAATGTCTGGGAAGAGTTTCCTCATAGCACGGCTGGTGCAGAAAAGTAGGATGTTAAACCATATTTTATTTCATTTCAGGATTGACTTTCTATTTAAAATAAATAGTCGACTTGAAACTTTAACTTAGGTCATTGACTGTATATATCAGGGAACCACAGTGGCTAGCCTGGAGGTAGCAGGTTCGATCCCGGTGTTGACCAAGAAAGTTCTTTGGGTTTTTCCGGCGTGGTTTCCCTTTGTCAGCTGGCTAGTCGTTCCAATGGAATGAATAACCGAGGTCGCGTGTACACATTGACGTGCACGTTAAAGATCCCTTGGCAGTTGGAATTTGATATAAGAGTAGGCTGTCCAGACAAAATTTCCCTTATATAGCTTACTGTGTGGCATATGCTGGTCGGAGCAGAACAGTAGGACATTAAATCCCATTTTATTTCATGTATAAATCGGGGATATGTGATCAATGTACTTGAGTGCAATATGGACAGGGATTATCATTCACTGAAGTAGACAAGATTACTGTAATCTATCATGTTGTACTCAAGGCAGATTAAAAATAATTATCTCTCTATGATAATCCCTTTATCCCCATGTAATCTTTTAGCACTGTGATAATTAGGTAATATTGTTTGTTAACATTATTTTTAGGTACATATACTCAGATCTTATTTTTAGTACAATGAAGGTTATAGTTATTATTAAATTAAGCGATGCATCTGTAGTTGGCATTTAAAACTTTGGTAAGACAAACTCTGGTTTATGATAGATTTAAATAAAATGCAAATAATTGGATGGGGAACGGTAAATGGCATATGTTTTTGAATTTTCTTTGGGAAAGAATGAAACCCACTCCAAACTACTATACAATGAGTTTTGTCGACTTTTTTCAGTGGAAATACTCATACCCAGCTTGGGTTAGGATCTTATTTCTAATGCTGGGCAACCATTATCAATTTTTTCTTTTTACAGAAATTGCGACAAAGTTTAGAAATGAACGGCAATATTAAACAAAGTCTAGCTATGGAAATTAGCTCAGTAAGTACTTCATTCTCTATTCTGTACAAACATTTACAATTAGACTATAGATTGTTATGTTATTTATCATTTAAGTCTTTTAAATTTCATCCAATTACCTCACTAGATCCTGAGGCAGGCATCATCCAGAGATCTTTGTCAAATCTCCATTTTCATTTTATTTTACTATTATAATACAATAGTATAGTTTGTTTACCTATCTATAGAGGTCTTTTTACACATTTGATTTTATGTGACCAGTGATGGCAAAATGAGTCTGAAGTCACAAGTCATTGTGTACGATATATGAACAAAAATGTTGAAATAGGCTAAAATGTAAAAGAAAAGTTATTTTATTGGTCAAATATAATCTTTTATCTTTCATGTTATGTCATTAAAATGATAGTTTAGCCTATTTTTGTTTATAATCGTAAAAGACTTGCAGCTTCCAACCCATTTTGCTATCTTGGGTCACATGTTTTATTTTACTAGTAATATTATTAGATTAGTTTTTATTTTCAATATTTGATATAAAAATAATATTAGGTACCAATACCTGTTCCTTTCACGGAAGATTCTTCTTACTCCAGTGATGATAACTATATTGAAGAAATTATCCAGGTTTCTCATTTAATTTCTGCATGTATCCCTCGTTAAGAATTAATACCTGATTAACATATGAGTTATATGGGCATGACTGTCTGATGTCCATGTCTAAGTTCCCCAGATATATGTAGCCTATGGTTTTTCTTGTTATCATGTTCTTGTTTGATGATGGTTTACATTGGGCCATGTCTTATTTATATGGGCATGACTGTCAAATGTCTAAGTTTGCTTCGATTGTTTTTAGCCTATGGTTGTATTGTTATCATGTTCTTGTTCTTGTTTTTATGATGCTTTACACAGGCTCCGGTTTTAAAAGTTTGAATATTGTGTAATTACAGTAATTTTATTAGTAGTTTTTGATAAATCTATCAACAAGTTTAGTTTTTGGTAATACATGTACATCTGAATTCAAGACATGAACTCCACAACTATATAATAAATAGTACATCTATTTGGTTAAGGACTCATTGCTTTGATTAGAATAGATTAAAATTGAATGGTAGATATACAAATTATTTTAGTTATATATCTGTAGAACAGCTGAATTAATAGTAGTAATTTCTAACATTTTTTATATTATAATAATTGGGATCTCTTAGACCTAGTATATTATAGTTTGTAGGCTAACTAACATAAGTAAATCAATTATACAGTTTTAATTATAATTACTGCAAGAATTGACCATAGCATGAACTTTTAAAATTAATTTTACCTTTTGTGAATGAGAAAACTGTTGGTATTTTGTTTTAAAAAATAAAATACATCATGAAATTAATGCTACATAATACTAGATATTCTACCGAATATCTGGCATCTAGATTTAATGTTTATGGTTCAAGCAGATGTCCTCTAACTAAATATTCTATATTATTTTCTGGGTTAGAAAAATAACTCCAATCTTGGTGATATATTATTTACCTTTAAAAGACTTTCAACGAACAAGTTGATATGTTTTCTATAGTATTCTGTTATTCCCAAATCCGAGCCATATGAATAGTTGTAAAGGTGTTATTGGATATTGTAGGATGAATCTGAAGATGAGTTAGCACCAACAATAGAAGAAGAGTCAGATGAAGATGAAGTAGAAGAAGAATTAATATCATCAGTAGATAGTTTAAACATCAATAACTCATCAGAAAAAAAACTTAATCCTTTTAAACCAGGAGAAACTATTGTTCTAGAATTTGCGCCGAATGCTAAACGTATGTTACTATAGTTATTAATTTATTCTCATGTATATTGTTATAATTTGTAATTATGACATACATATATTTGTGGACATACATAAAGTTTATTGTTGTTTACATTTTCACTAACACTATTGTCCCTTTCCCTCTCTCTATTTCGCCTGTCCAACCACGTGGGTTTCCTCCGGTTTCCTCCCACTGTTAAAGACCCCTACGTGCAAGCGAATTATGTAAATAAATTAAAACCATATGTTAGTCCCGAAATGACCTCGTTTGTGTCGAGTGGACGTTAAACCCTGTTTCTCTCTCTCCCTCTCTCTATTAGCTCTTTGTCATGTTTCAACCTAGTGGGTTTTCTCTGGGTCCCCTGGTTTTACTCGAACTGCTTAAGATCCCTACTTGCATTCGAATTATTGGAATGAAATTTAACATGTTAGTCCTCAAATGACCTAGTATGTGTTGAGTGGATGTTGAAATTTATTTATTTTTGTCAAGTTTCTGAATTTTGTCAAGTTTCTGAATTTTGTCAAGTTTCTGAATACTGCCAAATCTCCAGTACCGGTAAATGTATGTAATTGCACCAGTAAATGTATGTTATTGCACCGGTAAATGTATGTTATTGTACCGGTAAATGTATGTTATTATACCTAAAAAAAGTTTTCAGACATACTTCTGTTCTTTTCTTGTCACAGAGAGAGTTGAACGTAATTTATCAACTGTTAAAAGAAAAGAAAACGATGGTCCACTTCTGTCTGCACGGAAGTCGTCTGAAAGTCTTATATCTCCTAGATCAGGAAAACAAGTTATCCTTAATGAAACAAAAGAATTACAGTCAGGTAGGCAGCTATATTCCTGAAACATGGAATTATTATCATTTTCTATTTAGTAGGGAAAAAGGTGAAATTCACTTTAATGTTATTCTGTCCAAAAGTATAAATTTCAAATAAATATTGTCAAAATGTTTTTTAATGGATCCCTCTTTTCTAAAGATATGAAAGTATTGCCACTATTGGATTACTTATGTTTTTAGTTTCAAAACCTAAGAAACAGTTACAACCTATATCAGCCAATAGAAAAAGTTCTAATGGAGGGAAAGATAGTCAAGAAGAGGCAGCAGCAGTTTTAGCAGCGTTACGTGCCGAGAATGCACAAGCTGAAAAATACACTAAGGAAATCAAATCCAAAACAAAATTTACACCAGACAAGGTAAAATGATGGATTACGCTTAATAAAAATTGAAACACATTTATATTGGTTTAGCCAATCTTTCAATATTATGCAAAATTAACACATAGTTACAATTAGAAGAAGCTAGATGATTGTCTGATCTTCTGCAGAAATTGAGAGATGTAAGAATGTAGTTTGTACCTCAGCAGTGCAAATATGGTTGAAAACAGTAATTGAGTAATAAATGTAGATTTGTTGTTCTCCTGTTGTAAGAAAATGAAAAATTTACAGAATGATGTGCATATTGTACATATTGTACATATGTTATGTATGACTTGTATTTCTTTGTGTCTGTATTGATGTTTATTAATGATATACTTGCTAAATAAAAGTTAATTTTTCTTATGTTGATTTTATAGGTAGTGTCAAAAAGTCCTCGACCTAGTGCCTTATCGTCTCCTGTAAAATCTTCACAATCTCGTCCACTTCCTGTTTTATCTACTAGTTGTGATAATGGTGAATTAACAGATAAAAAATTATCAGATATTGTAGAGAAAGTTCTGGTAATGCCACCCAAGTAAGTAGATTAACAACCTTACTTTGTTTATAAATTGATCTTCTTGCTTATTAATAGCTTAGTCCAGGTTGTAGCAAGGTCTCTATAGATAAGACATGTCAAGACATTTTTTTTTTGTTAAATTAGGTGTGATGTCATGTCTACACTTAAATATGCTTTATGTAATATTTTAGATAACGCTCTGTCCGTTCTTGCTGTTCAAAAATAGATAATGAGAAATGAATTGAAAATTTCAAATTACTTTATTCTGAGCCAAGTTATGAGTGTTTGAAGGTTTGGCATGATAGTCTTAATTGTCAAGTACCATTGCTATGATAATAAACAATTCTCGATAATCCATTTTATCGTTAAGTTACTAAATGGCAAAGGGGTTCCTAATCCATTTAATATCTAAGCCATCCAATGGTCTAGAGAATTTATTAACGGCTTGTCATGTGAATAAATGACTAAATAATAGTTTATATAGCATTTGAAACCAGGAAAAAGTAGATCAAATTCCACACAAAATATTTAAAATAAGTAAAAATAAGTTCTTGTTTTACAAGTATTATTTGACCCTAAGAGAACTAAGAAATTTGACTATTAATTAAATGGCATATTAACTGAATTAAAATAACATAACATGTATTTATTTGTAGACAACAGTGTCGTCTTGTTAAGTTATTAGAGAAATTAGATGATGATACTGCTAAATATAAACCTAACACTGAATCCAGTCAAATTTATTCTTCGAAAAAACCTTTAAAAGCTATCACTCCAGTCTCCAGTATGGTTCAAAAACAGGTAATGTCCATCATGTTTCTATTTTAACCCTTTCAATTTTAGACGTAAATCCACTGCCTGTGCTAGACCCTTTTTTGAGGAAAAAAGGGAGGTTGGAACTGAATGCCAAGCAGTACTTATGGAAGCTTTTATGAAAAATCTTTTTGTCTGTTGGGATGGGCATGAGGTTGGGCTAAGAGGAAAAAATAGAATTTTGGAAATTTGCATAATAATGTAGTCACTTGACGTCATGGCGGCCATTTTGGATTTCATATTTCTCACTAAAGCTAACACGAAAACGAATTTTTCTCCATGAAATACTTAAAAGATATTGTTTTTTTCACTGGATTTTGATAAAGATATATAAAATGAACAAAAATATCAATAGCAGCCATGAGCAATGCCGCCACGAACACGCGCATCACGTCTCCCGCTGCCATGACCACGTGCGGATTGCAATACCTTGTTTTTACTTTCACTTTCACTTTCATCCCCAAGTCCTATATCATTATCAATATAGTCAGTCAATAGATCTACACGTTCGGGACTCAGGAATTGCCTACGTCTTTTACGATCCAGCAGGTCAGCATTATTATCAACATCAGAATTATTGTCAGAATCTACTGCAGACACAGGGCTATCGTGTTCACATTGGGCTTGTTCATCATGCACGGGAGACATAGCTAGCCATGGGCGGAACGTCGCGCAACAAATCACACACTTCATAATACCAATCACTGTCCTCACTACTATCATTATCAAGTAACTGGAAACGAATTATGTGTATCACCCGCCTCGAAATTGTCCACGTGTTGGTGAGCAAGACGTCATTCACGACTTCGTCGAGAGTGCATCGTCAACATTGTCACTATGCACTCCGCCATTTTACGGTTTGCCGCTTTGAAACACGTGGAAATATGTTCTAGTGTATAGAAAATACAATAGATGGCACTTGCAGTTACGGTACTAATTTTAGCGAGGGCTTTACTGAGTACACGGTAATACCGGGTACGTGCATTTTACCGACATTTTATAATACCCAGTACTACCGGGTATACGCAGTGAAAGGGTTAAACCATAGAATATCACCACTTTATAAAATACAATAAAACTCGAAAAATATTCTGGTACCAACAGACATTATGTAGAAAATTTAATGTCAAAATTTTGGCTCCTGGGACCTTTTATTCAAATGATAAGAGAGTTAAACAATATTTTTACTTATTGTTCAAGATGTCTGAAATGGTTTGGGGAACAGGTTAAGCCTATGTAAAACCCCTCTCCCACCGATGTTTTATTAATGTATCAGTTAATATTACATTGGACATGATTATTGTTTTCAGATAAATGATAGTGATATTGAAGTTAATATAGAGATTTTATCTAACTGGGGTCATCCATCTAGATTAGGATTAACAGAGATACAGTTTTATAATCAAGATAAACAGTTAATACCAGTTAATTGTAATGATGTGACAATACATGGTGGTAATAAAACACATGCTTCTATAGATGTTTTATTTAATGGTAAAGCAAAGGTGAGATATTGTAATGTGTACACGCATGATTAATGTTCTCAATATTTAAATGAATGAATAAATGAAATGGGGTTTAACATCCCACTGCTCTGCACTAACCGAGCTAATGGTGACAAGACCTAGTTTTTTTTTTCGTCCCATCCAAATGACTAGATGCTGTTCCTTGCTGGGCCCTCTGCTCTGCACAGCTGACAAGAGGTAACCACGCTGAAAAATACTCGAGAACATTCTCGACCAGCACCAGGATCAGATCCCAGGCCCCCATAAATACTGAACCATGTGGCTTCCTACATATTTTAAAGTGGCAGACCTGTAACTATTGGTTTAGTAGGGATTGTTCAACACCTTTAAAAGTGGCATTATTGCTCTCATCCAGAAATGAATGTAATTAATTTTGAATAATATGATAACCAAAATAAATCTAGACTGGCCTAAAGATGTAGCAGTAGAATAAGGTATTTTAAACCAATGTTTATTTACCTCTTTGAAAATTCCTAAAAAGAAATGTTTTTACTAGTAAATTGCATGTTAAAATGTCTCTTAATTGGAACATGCACATTGTAACTGATATCAAATCGAAAATTATCTAACAGTTAAAATTTCTCATGGTTTTGTAGAAATTTTTAGCTATTTTTTTTGGTTTTCAGACAACTAAAGAAAGGTATATGTGGCTTTGTGATTTTTCTGGTAAAAGATTAGAATTTGTGATACCTTTAAAAAATCCATTTCCAGAAAAACCTTTTGAACTTTCTACTATTAAACTATGGAACTGGAATAAAAGTATAAATGTAAGTAAAAAGGCATATAAAACCACTTGTTGTGTATGTTGATTATATGCTTTAAAATTAAAAAGGAATACGAAGGATGTTTTTCATTCTAAAGAAAAGAAATACAGATAATCAAGGTTTTTGGAATGAACAAGTCACTGTAAATCTAAAGTTGATTATATACTGAATTTTGACATAGTTTTCAAGAATAAATAAAAATCAGATTGTCGAATAGTCAATATTGATGTTTTAAGTTACTTACTAATAAGCCTTTATTTGTTTTTATTTTTCATTTTCTTTTCTTTTTGAATAGTTTTTAAGAATTTTAAGAATATTTTTAATGAGATGTGATGTTGATTTAAGAAAGTTAAAATTCATATATAAAACATGGAATATGTTATAAAATTAACTGAAGTAAGTTGAGTATCATCATATATTTTATATTACAGGGTTTAGATATGGGTGGTAAACATGTTCGTGTATTTGTTGGTGGAGAGTTAGTATATGATGGTGATATAGATAAAGGTTGTGGTAATCATATATACGACTACAGTACATCAATCACTGTTAAAAATAATACAATGGAAAATAAAAGTTTCTCAGAGAATGGCTCTAAAACTCCGTCCAGAGAAAATTCTCATCATACATTCCGAAGTATCAGTCGTTCCTCGCTGTCTTCAGCATCCTCGTCAAGTTCATCCCGTCCAGTATCAGCAACACAGCCACAGCAAAGTCCTGTTCGTAGTGAAACTAGAACTGTTTTAAATAGTGATAATAGATTAAACCGTCCTGTTATAAGTGGTGATGGCTCCGATTCCAGTCCAGAGAGTGATCAGCCCAGAAGAGGTAGGTACATGAATAACGTATAATTCATAAATTATTGAGGACGTATGTAATCCGGGGGGATAATATTGATCGTTCCGAATTTCTTGAAAATCAGGTTATTAGAAAAAGAACCAGACTTTAATGTCTTACTTTTCTAAACCAAAACAGTCTCATTGAAACAGGCATACGACACACAGGAAAATTTTGCCTGGACACACAGGGAAATTTTGTCTGGACACACAGGGAAATTTGGTCTGGACAGAAGTGCTTTGGCCTCTTCTTATTTCAATTTCCAACTGTCAGACCCGAAAATTCTATTAAACTTTCTGGGACAACACCTATATCACACCTGACCTGCTGGATGAAACCTAGTGTTTAGTAAGCCACATCGAAACTCTCTCAACTACCATGGCTCCCATTCCATTGTGTTACAACTGAATGGTCTTTATGTGTTATATTATTTTTTATCACATTTTTACTCCGTCATCGTTATTTACAGAAACTAACAGAACTTTATATGGCATTTGATTGTTTATCAGAATGTTAATTATTGAAAATTCTCAATGTTGCTACTTGTCTAGAAGTGTTATTTTATTTTGCAGATCCATATAAATTACCGGAACAAACAAAATGCAAGACACCAAGAAAATCAAAACGTTTAGTAGCCAGATTAGATGGTCATTCGTCAGAAACTGAATCATCTAAATCTGTTAATGACAGGTGAAGTTTTGAAATTTTATCAGTACCCAAGAAACCCTCGACCAAAAATACATAATTAATGGTACCAGTGGTACCAAAGCATGGCTTTTACATACATTATTAAATGAAAAAATGCTTTATTTGTTTTTGAATAGATTTTTGTTAGAATTTTGCTTAGAATTTTATTAGCACTTTGTATAGAATTTTATTAGAACTCTGTTTTTAAAAACTTTGTATAGAATTTTATTTAAACTTTGTATAGAATTTTATTTAAACTTTGTATAGAATTTTATTTTTGTCTCTGTTACAGTAATGATCAGAAACCACCAAGGTTACCAACCAGTAGATCTAATAACAGTTTATCTGGTAGTTCTGATAATAAATTATCAAAAAATAGATCAAGTCCTAGTCCGACTAGTAGTAAACCACCAACACCTAGGCGATCGGCCCAACGTACACCAGACGAACTAGATTTTGAACCTGAAGATCTCTCTGTTTTACATAAAATAAAAGATATGAAAAATAGGTAATAACAAAATTTATTTCTCACATACAATTAAATAAATAGATAAAAATCAGATTGTTCTATATCTCTTTTTTTATGTTGCTAAAATTAGCTTATATTTAGAATTTCTACTTTCATTTTGTTAAGTCTCACTTTATATCTCTCTAGTCCTATGAGTAGCAGTAATTCTTCTTCCAGTGATGAATATACGAGAACTATAGTTGCCTGGCATTATCCTGACAAGTACATAATCAATATTTTATAGATTTTAAATGTCTGTTCTGTGTGCTAATAATAACCAATTAATAATACAGCACTTCTATGTATGTACAGGTCAAAATTATGTATTACATCATAAATAATTAATGATTTCAAGTGAACTGGGAAATAAAAAAATAACATGGAAATAAAATGAACCATTTACAATATTACAGAATTTTTTTGACACTTTTGTGTAAATGTAATAACATATATTGTTTTCAGAACTGTCACTCTAACATTTACAATAAATCACAGTTTATTGATGTGAAATGTACACATTTATGCACTGTATTTCTCCTGTATTCCTAAAAATAATAATGTATTAAAATTATCTCCTCCAACAGCAGTTTTACAAATCAGATGTTCTTCATCAAATAACAATCTGATTAAAACACAGATCCTATTTCGTTTCGTTTTTTTAGTTCAAAATTTCATTTTACTTGTCTTTACTACACTAGGATCTGGAAGAGTTGTTATATAACAGGCATTCTACTTGATGTGAGGAATTAGCCAATGAAACCACTAGAAACGAAAACGCTGATTGATTAATCAATGTCTGACCAGAGGTCGCAGTCACGCAAACATCCGCGTATTTCACACATTTTTTTCAAAATAAACGCTGCGTAATTTACAGGCAGAAAATTTCCCCGACGTGAGAATAATTAGATTATTCTATGTCGTAATTTGTACAATTTATGTGCTTCACCCGGCATTTACACACCTCTACTGTACGTAGTCTCCGTAGTTTTTTATATTTCCTCTTATTTCATTCATAAGTTCATGGCAGTAAACCTACGTAGCTATCCTGTTGGAAGCAATAAAGCGCATTTCATACAAGACTTGGGATTGGCTAGAACAAGACATACTGTTTACATTCAGACAATCAAATGTTGGCTTTCATAGCGATTGTTTTCTCTTTACGTCCTATCGAAGTGAAAGATTGAAATGACTGTGCCGTCAACCGTAGACATGCCGTTAACCTCCAGTCGTCATTAGACTAAATACAGTAGGCATATCAATAAAATAAGGACGCTTAAAATAGGGTTGTTCACAAAACGACTTTACAGGCTTCTGTATTGAGTATTTTGAGAGGCTCTTCACGCAGATGTAGAGAGCAAAAACGCAAAATTTTGGAATGTCTGCGTATTTTTACGCAATTCGAAATTGATCCACTGCGACCTCTGTGTCTGACGTCATAGGGTCAATAAATGCTCGTTTGACCCCTGACGTGAACTCCCACTATAACTTGTCAGATCTTCATGTAGTGTAGGCCATCGAAAGTATAAAAAACAAACCGAAATATAGATCTTTATTTTAATCAGGTTGTCAAGATCAGAATTTACAGCCAACGTTATAATATTGTATCTCTTCAAATATCTACCAATCTATTCCATAATAGACACCAAGAGAACATTTCTCTATCATGAAATAAATTGCAGAGCTAAATCTTCCTATTGCAGGTCTTTGGGCCGTAAATGTTATATAAATTATTACGTAGACATTTGTTAACATGACAAGACCAGAATAAACTCTAGATACCATCAGATGTCTCTGATTTTAAGTAGATTAGAACTGTTTGGCAATTTAATGATTTAATTTAAAAATGGAGAAGCGAGGCTAAGACGCAAATGACCAGTACCTTGGTTACAATCTTGTCAAAACTACAACCATTCATAACTTGGCTCAAAATATAGTAATTTGAATGAAATTTTCAATATATTTATTTAGCATTATCTATTTTTGAAATATTATAGCGAGAACAACAAGCTCTTTATCTAAATCTTACATAATCCCCCTTTAACTTACAGTTTTCATAATTATAAGAGACATCTTATTCCAATTGGGTTGTTACTCTTGATCACTTTTTAATGTCTTGTAAATGCACCCATCATGTTTGTCAACTGCTCTGGACGTATGTTTTATTGCCTGGCAACTTATTTTTAACCTATTGTGATCGATCTGTCAAACATAGAGTTGATATCTATTATTCATCATTTTGTAGACAAAAGTATGTCTTTCATTTCTCATGAATCTTTTTCCTAAAACAAATATTTTTGGGTGCAAAATAAATTACTTTTACAAGCATTAACAAAGTGATTCAAATATTAAATTCCTTCCTATAATTTTGCATTGAATTTATTATTGATTATGCAATAACATGTTTCAGTGAGGGATCTAGAAGAAAAGATATTCCTAAATGGTTGAATAGAGAAGATTTTAGTGGTAAGTGAATCAATATTCTTTTACCTTTGTGAGTTATATGAATATTGTATAATATGTAGTTATATTTAAATTATTTTGTCATAATTCACATTTAACTTATGTTCTATCATGCTAGGATATAGATGGGGAAAGTTTGTTTGAAAAATGGTTGATAAGTGTCTTAATTTTTTATTTATTTCCAACAAATTTAGGATATTTATAATTTCTATTATTCAGCTGATCGTTTTGAAGGACCACCTGAAAGTCGTGGTAGTAGTAGAAATGACATGAGGTCTGAAGAAAAGACTAGATCGTCCAGTAGAAAAAGTCAGAATAAAGCATCAGAACCTGTAGATGATTTGTTAAATGAATTAGATGATGCCCTGGCACCTTGGCAAGCGGCTAGGTAAATACTGGTTTAATATCTATCACACAAATATAATATGTCCATTTATATAGTACCAAACATGCCCAAATTTCTCGTAGTGCATTAAAAAAAAAAAAAACTATATACAAAAGTTAATTCAGTGACTCTTAAGTTTTTTGTTATACGCCCACATTTTCATGTGGACATATATTGTTATCGCTCGGCTTTGTCCGGACATCTGTTCACATTTTGTTTGTGGACTCTCTACAGTTCACAATTTTTATCTGATTTTGATAAAACTTGAAATATATGTTTATAACTCAAGGTCTTGGTAGCTTTCAATATTCGTGCATATCGAACGGTAACTTCATGGATTATTGCCCCTGATTGTATTGTCCGATAAATCACGTTTTTAGGTTGTGGACCCTTTAGAGGTCACAATTTTTATCCCCTTTACACCATAAGGACTGTTGTGTTTGAATTTTGTAAAAATTGAACCGAAAGTGCCCAATAAAATAGCCCCTCCTCGAATGCAAATAGTGTAAAAGTCTGTAATACCAAGGTTGTGGACCCACTAGAGCTCACAATTTTTATTATACGCCCACATGGAAATGTGGTCGTATATTGCCGTCACCCTTGTCCGTCAGTCCATCGGTCTGTCCTTCCGTCGTCCACAATTTCTTGTGAACACTCTATGGACTACATTTATCATCTGATTGTTTTGAAATTGATATATATGATGTTTGCATTAGTGAAATGAAGAAGCCTATTTAATTTCAAAAACTTCTGCTGATTTCTTCTGGAATTATGGCCTTTGTTTCACTCTGTTGACTCTTGTGAACGCTCTAACGACAAAAGTTATCAACCGATCTGTATGAAATTTATATGCATCATTTAAATTAGTAAAACAAGGAATCCTATTGAATTTCAGCAATTCCATTAATTACATCTAGAGTTATTGCCCTTGTTGCACTTTGTTGAATCTTGTGAACGCTCTAATGACAACAGTTATCATCCGATCTGTTTGAAATTTATATGCATCATTTAAATTAGTGAAACAAAGAAGTCTATTGAATTTCAGCAACTTGCGTTAATTACGCCGTGAGTTATGGCCCTTGTTTCACTTTGTTGTACCTTGTGAACGTTCGAACGACAAAAGTTATCATCCGATCTGTATGAAATTTATATGCATTATTTGAATTAGTAAAACGAAAAAGCCTGTCGAATTTCAACAATTTCTGTAGATTACTTCCAGTGTTACGACCCTTGTTTTAGTTTTTAGAACCTTGTGAACCCTCAAACAACGAAAATTATAATGTCATCTGTATGAAATTGTCTATTAAATGCCCCTAATTACCTACCAAAGAATAAATTTGTGACAACCCTTGTCGACCGCTCGGACGATTTAGCTGCTGTGGGCATATGTTTTATTGTCTAGCAACCTATCTTTCGATTTTGAGGAAACTTAAAATATGTATTTATGTTCAAAAGATCTCAGTTCCTTTTGATATTCGTGCAAATTGGACCGTAACTTCATGGGAGCGAATTCCATCTTTCTGCAACAGCAAACTCTCCACTTTGGTATCTCCAGGTTATAGAGATTGTTGAAAGGAGCCTGTCTTTTAGGAATATAAGCTTACTGTTAATCCATAAGGATAATCGGGAGCTTGTCCATTGACACACTAAGTCATGCTGTTTAACAACTATATATAGGAATTTATATCTTGTGGAATTTGATGTTTGCATGTCAACACATGCTGAGATACTTTTCTAGCAACATGAGCAGATTGGTTGAGTTTGGGCAATGCCAGAAACTTTTGGGACACCCCTCGTATGTCAGGCAAGAGTACCTAGTTACCAGTGACGAAAAAGAAATGAAATGGAGTTTAACGTCATACTGTTGAGCTCTGATTGGGCTAATGAAGACAAGAACTAGTGAAGGGGTTGGAGAGCTTGGGCTATGTGGCTTCTGACCATTCCTATATTCTTATACTAGCAGGATACCCGGCTTCGCTCGGGGGTCATAACTCCGAAACCGGAAGTGGTAGACTAACGCCACCTGGCCTATGTTACTCCCCGGTCCGAGCTACCCCTATACCCCAAATTTCAGACTCGGGGCAGACCTAGTGTAGCCGCCAACCCCGAACAGACCGGCTTCGCTCGGGGGTCATAACTCCGAAACAGGAAGTAGTAGACTAACGCCACCTGGCGTATGTTACTCCCCGGTCCGAGCTATTCCTATACCCCAAATTTCAGAGTCGGGGCAGACCTAGTGTAGCCGCCAACCCCGAACAGACCGGCTTCGCTTGGGGGTCATAACTCCGAAACCGGAAGTGTAAGACTAACACCACCTGGCCTATGTTACTCCTCGGTCCGAGCTACCCCTATACCCCAAATTTCAGACTCGGGGCAGACCTAGTGTAGCCGCCAATCCCGAACAGACAGACAGACAAACAGACAGACAAACGACGACAGACAAACGACAGTCACAAATATATATATATATATAGATATGGAATTACTGTTTATAAACCTGCAACATTAAAATTTCATGTTTTTAAATCAGTGATTGTTATTCCATTTCATTATTATAGAAGTTTTATTCAGCTACTCCTCAGTTAATAGATATCACTGAAAGAAGTTGATAATCTATAACCAATAATTGTATTGTCGGGTTTTAATTCCACTAATATAAACTACTTGTTCTGAATTTTTTCAGAGTAAATCCTTTACCTAACATGTCAGATGACAAAAAGACAAAAGTGAAATCTAAGTCAGCAGTAGAGGAAGAAGAAGGTTTGTTTATAAAGATTTTGTTGTAATTAATTAATTATTAATTGTAACATTGTTAGCAATGAATTTTTAAACCTAACAATCTGTTTTGATCTCAATTTTCGGATTTTATTCACAAGAACGAATTAATCCAGTCCTTAGCTAAAGATAAAGTTTTTTCTCATGATCTGTCAGAATTGACTTCTTAAATTGGAGTTATTTCATCTTAAGATTGAGATTACTTTTTGTATGTTTGTAATTTTAGATGATCTTGAAGATACCTTGACATCACCCATGGAGAGAATTGAAAGAAATAGGTCAAGATGGAGAGAAGCAAAAAATTCCAATTTAGAAGAATCATGGGGCTCACTTTCATTCTTTAATAGATCACAAAGAGGTCGTCTGTCTGTTGACATGGCTGGTAAGTGATAATTGTACTGTTCTTAAATCAACATGCACGATTTAACAGTTACAAATAGAGAAATCCATATTTTTCTAAATGAAATTTTTCAATCCCCACCTTTCAAATGGTTATCTGGGAAATATAGAGATGTTTAAAATTATATCGCCATCTGAAATACTGTTTTAAAGAAAGACAACTCATGTGACTATAATTCCTCCATCAATAAGTATTTGTGAATTACGGTGAATTGGTTGACAGAGCACCTGTCATTTGTCAATATGGGTAAGCAGCCGACTTTTTCACACATCAGGGGGGAAAATTTGGGTTCTTCAATTATCTGTAAGTTAATGATCTTGGAAGACTGGTACCCTATCATTTCTCGTTCCTTTAAAAATAGTGAAAGTGAAAGTAATGACCTTTAGTACTGTGGTTGTATTTACAGATGATGCTTTAGATGAATACTTGCCATCTTCGAAGAAACTTATCCAATCAGAACCAACAATACAAGAAGATGAAATGCCTGAGAATGAAGATGATTTTACGATACCAGAATTGCCATATGGTAGAGAACTGGTGATTAATATTAGTAGTACATGGGGTGATCATCATTATGTTGGTTTAACTGGTGTAGAAATATTCTCTAGTACTGGTGATAAAGTTCAAGTTACTAAGGTACCACAGTTTATTATGTTTTTACATTTATGTTTATATTCCATGTTTCAAAGCACCTGTGGTTAAATAAATTTTCTCTTTTTTTATATAAATTATTCTGGTTCTTGGATGCCACTGCATCACTTAAAAAGGCTTGTTGGTGCTCACAGCTTTGAAGTTTAAGGGTTTTAACCGCAGAAGACGAAACAGAATGGAATAATTATGTTTGCAGAGTAATTGTAAATAGAATGACACGGAATTTGATGTATACAGATTTTCTAGACAAGTACAACCATACTATGAACCAGGAACGGACGATTATGATCCATGGTGTCATCGCAGCTATCTTGTATTTGTGGTGTTAGGTCTATCAATTGATACAAAATAGTCCAAAGAACAACCATCTCAAGTTTCATATTGATCATACTTGAACTAGCAAAGCCTTGGGCTTTTTCTTATGAAGAAAGCCACACCAAGAACAAGAAGAAGATTATTACAAAATGTATGGAACCAGTTAATAGTTCAAAAACAGTTTAATTTCAGTCAGATGGCAATATAAAAGAATAGAGTTGCTCTGTATATGATTTGTGTTATATTTAAATGTTTTAGGTTACAGCTAATCCATCAGATATCAATATATTACCTGAATACTGTAAAGATCCACGTGTTGTAACTAATATAATAGATGGTGTTAATAGAACTAGAGATGATGTACACATGTGGTTAACACCATTTACACAAGACTCTAATCATTATGTATATTTAACATTTAATAAACCCTGTAGAGTTTCTTTAATACGAGTTTGGGTATGTATATATTTTGTTTATAACATATATCTTAGATTATTGAAATAATCCCATTACACATGTGATGATTTTATTGTTTCTTAATATCAAGTTTTATGAGTTTGAAGCTCATCGGGGAGGTTGAGAGATATTTTACTGAGTCAAGTGTTGCAGTTTCTGTCCTGAGTTTTACAAGTAGGGTCATCTGCCAACCTTGTAGGTTTTATTAACATCCTCCAGCTTTTTCCCACTACTAATAACCGCTATGCAGAAATGAATTATCAAATTAAAAATGTTCCATATGTTAGTCTCAATTCAATACAATATGTTGAGTAGATGTTAAAACTTATTTCTATCTGAAGCTCATCATGCTAATACATATATTTAGAGATTTCATGTTCATTAATACAGAAATTTTTGTTACCACTATGACTAAATTTTTATCTCACAGTCCAATTTGATCAGGGTTTTATACATTTTTTAGCTAGTTATTGTTTAATATTTTATTTAATTTTCAGAATTATAACAAATCTAGAATACATTCATATCGAGGTGCTAAAGATGTGGTGATGAAGTTAGATGGTAATATTATATTTAAAGGTGAAATAGCCAGAGCTTGTGGTGGTATAGAAGGTGGAACAGAAGCTTTTGGTGATGTAAGTTATCAGAATTTTAACCAATAACAATGGATGCTGATATTTTCTCTCCTATGAATATGAGTTCTTATGTTAACTGTGATGTGTAGAACTTTGACCGAATGACGTCGACTTAGCCATTAACCATATAGCAAAATAACCACATGGTAAGGGCCAATCTGTTTTACAGACCTAATGCGACATCCGTCTTTTATCTCTGTCCAAGATGACTGTCCTTTAAAAGGTCAGACCGCTGTAGTTCTAAGGGTGACGTCACATCACAATGTTTACCAACAAAGCAAGATGGCATCGATAACGCCAAAAAAGATTACTTCTGTGGCTTGTTTTTGTTGTTTTAAAACAAACACGAGCAGGTCAATCAGATTAGACGGTAAAAAATGTACTTCTGAAAGAATTCAGAGTAAACAAACAGAAAAAAACGTCAAATTGATGGTGACACGTGCGTTGTTTACATCGAACGTAGTAATATGAACTGGTACGGGCAAAATTATATCGTTTTACCCATTTTACGCCTCCGCGTACTATTTTCTGTACCTATTTACACTAAATATGGAATATTTTTTTTAAATCAAGATATACTTCAAACACCTTTATTTATTTTTCTAATACTAAAAAAAAATGTTTCAGAATTTAATTTGTCGAAAGAAAAAAGTTAATATTTTGTAGTCATTAAGTCGCATCGATGTCCTCCTTATCAGTGATTGTAGCGGCCAAGCGAATATTCACTGCGGATCAGTGTGGGTAAGGGCATCAAGCGAATGAAGGATACATAACATAGTATTCCTTTTTTATCATTTCAAAAGATAAACCTTAATTTTTCAGTTTAGTATCATTTTGATTTTGAATTGCGTATAATATATAGGGGCACCAGCAATTGTCTTGCTCAAGGGGGAACCATATAGTCTTAATAGTGCTTGGTGCTTTTAAAGATCTTAATTCATAGACCACTTGTATTTATTTAACACATTAACTTTTCTGGTCCATGTGATCTTTTAAAACTGAATTCTTTATTTACCTTACATAATATTCAACTAAACAGCCCATTTCCATGTCTATATCCTACATTAAGCAGACTAAGTTTATTTAAAATCCCTTCCAGATTCTATCGTTATGAAGAATAATAAACAAAATTTAAACTATGGTTTTTCAGACCATCTTATTCACAACAGATGAAAGTATTCTAGAAGAAGTTTCTAAAAATGATGAAGCTTTTGAAGGAGAATTATTCAGTGATGGTGAAGAAGAAGATGTTCCATTTGAACGACCCAGCACTGCTGATAATGGAGAGGTTTGTTTAGGAATTTGGTTCTAAGCTTTTAAAACTAAATATGTAATTCATGATCAGGTAAAAGTGACTTTGCTCCAAAATAATACAAGGATACTGTTAAAAAGATTAAAGCTCTGAAAGGGGGAGTCCCTAATTTCAAATAAATCATACTGTCAAATCTGATTGAAAAATTGAAAGCCAAGAATTCTTTCAGAAAAAATATTGATATACTATTTTTAATGTATTTATTTCAGGAGAGACCATTTACAAGAGCTGTTGGTGTGATACCTAAATCAGAATACCAGGAACGACCAGAAACTAGTTATATTACTACAATAGATGATGTCACAGCTTATAAAACTAGATGTAAGTCTGCTAAATCATATAGAAATAAAGAGTACAAATAGAACTATTCATTTTCAATCAAAGATAGTTTGGCAAACTTTTGTTTAAAGAATTTTTCATTCAGTAACCTTATGCTTTATTTGTCTTTAAATATTATTTAATGATGCATTATGTCAGATTTAGAAATGGCTGTTCTTGCTATAAAAGTTGTAATATAGATAATGAAAAATTGAAATATTAAAAATTTCATGTAAAATTACTGTATTCTAAGCAAAGTTATAGATTAAATTTTTGGCAACAAATAGTGTAAATAGTCCTGATTGTCAAGCCCCATTACTATGATAATAAACAACATTTAGATTTTACATCTTAACGTTAATAAAAATATTGAAGACATTGTCTAATCCATCTGATATCTCATAGTTTAGTCATGTTTTAGAGCATTGAATATGGGCTTGTCATGTGCATAAATGTCAACATTTGATTCCAGAAAAAAAGACTGCAACAGGCAGATTTAGTTCTTGCATAGTGTATCTTTACACAATTTTTAAAAAAGTAGAAATTCATTTTGATTTTTTTTTTTTTTTTTTTTTTTTCAGCATTGGAACTGAATTTTACAGCAACCTGGGGTGACCCACATTATTTAGGATTAACAGCTCTAGAAGTTGTTGGTAAAGATGGTGAAGCTTTACCGTTAAAACTATCAATGTTAACAGCTCAACCAAGAGATGTTCGTATTCTACCAGGTCATGAACGAGACGATAGAACCCTGGACAAGTTAGTTTTATTTTTCATTATATATAGATCATAATTATAACTTTTCCTTCAAAATTAACAAACTTAAACGGATATACTACTTCTGAATTTTATTAACATGCTACGTTTCAATACACATACAGGTATTGTTATCAATTGATAACAATATCAGTTGATAACAATACATGTATGTGTATTGAAATGTAGCATGTTAATAAAATTCAGAAGTAGTATATCCGTTTAAGTTTGTTAATTTTAGTGAAATCTATTTCTATATGTCTTTTATGGATAACTTTTCCTTTATTTATCACTTTGGTAAAATTTATCCAAGTTTTAAGAATAATTTTGTTATAACTAGTCATAGTTGGGACTATGTATCATCACAATATAGTGTCCTAAAAAGTGAGGAGGATCATCCCTCACCCATCTATACCTCAAACCTTTAATATTTTGGTTAAAGAACCATATTCCAGCATATGATGTGTACCTTATTTTGATGAAGGTAATAATAAACTTCAACATTTTTCTTTCCAATTTCAGATTAATAGATGGTACTGCTGTAACAATGTTAGATGAACATATGTGGCTTATACCATTTGCTGAAAATAAGAATCATCTACTAACAATCAAATTTCCTGATAGAGTGCTAGTAACTGGTTTACGTATATGGAATTATAACAAGAGCCGTGAAGATACTTATCGTGGTGTATGTATATTTTTAACGTGGAATGGGCTTTAATATACTATATATGCATATAATTGATCTGACAACTAACATTCTCTGCAAATTCTTGTTGATACTATCAAAACCATGTAATTTTATATTCCTATTTATTGTTGTTTTTTTAAGAGTAGAAATATTACATTTTGTGTGCTGTCAGTTTTATGATTAAATGATTAATGGAGTAACAAACGTGTTTTACAGGCTAAAATAGTTCATGTAAAAATAGACGGACGTCAAGTTTCTCCACCATCGGGTTTCTTAATACGAAAAGGTCCTGGAAGCTGCCATTTTGATTATGCCCAAGAAATTAATTTTACTTGTAAAAATAATAATAGTACAGATGGATTAACGGTATCACATACAGGCGGGTAAGTTAACATTATGAATTCTTTATCTCAAACTATCTGTGAAACAAATTTTTCAAAATAGGTTGAACAAAACTTCAATATCATAAATTTTAATTTTTTTGTTTTCTTTAATTTATTTTTTTCTTTATTTCTTAAACAGGGTTGAAACAAGTCAAGATTATGAAGCTGTACAGATGCCTTGTGGATGTATCCTTTTAATAGATATTAAGATTCAAATTAAATTAGTTCAAGCTACTCCATGGTGTTGTATTTACATGTATAGATAGTGCAACAATTTCAAACCTCTTTGAAAAGCAGCAGTATAATTTCATACTTTCAATTATTGAACATCTACATATTATTGAATGTCTAAACAAAGTATTATATCAAATTTATTTATGTATAATCTTTAACTTATCGAAAGTTATTTACCAATTTCAACTGTTTTCAACATGGGCAGATCCATACTATGTAGGATTAAATGGTATAGAACTTTATGATGCTAGTCTGAAAAAGATTCCACTCACAGACACTAGTAAGTATCATGTTGTCTTTTTGTTATAATAGCAACATTTTGATTATTTTCATTAAAATACTACTTCATACACACATAAATAATTAAATATTATGAAAAATATATGACAAATTTTGATCTTCTGATTCTGTCTTTGTATTTAGATATATCAGCGTATCCAGATAGTGTAAATGTATTAGATAATGTACAGAATGATATTAGAACACCAGATAAACTGATTGATGGTGAAAATGACACTACAGATGGTAAACATATGTGGCTAGCACCAATATTACCTACAATGGTAAGGGAAAGCTTTATTCATTCTATGTTATTATATTGATAGTTTTCTTCACATGGCTAAATTGCATTTGCAGCATTTAAAAGTAATACAGGAGAACCACACTGAAGACAAACCCATGGACAAACACACACACACAGACATTGTAAACAATAAGCAACAAAGGTTTTATCTGGATCCCAGGGCTGGTTCTAAGCGTCCTCTATGCTTTTACAGTCCCTTTAAAAATTGAAAGAAACTTACAACAGGGGATATAATCCACAATAGTATTAATCTATAGGGAATGGCATAATCGGATGTCTACACCCCGAAAAAAAACCCAGTTTTTGACTCTTCGGCTCATAGAAATGAGATGAAAAGCCAAGTCCAAAAACTAGAACTATTTGATAGTGATCAGTAGTGTTTAAAACATAAACATTTGGAAAATATACGAATGTATTAAATACAAGGTTAAAGAATAGTTATTTTAACAAGAGTACAAGAAACAAACTGATAATTATAAACCGGCATAATCAGGGGAGGTAACTCATTATTTTATCCCTAACTCCATTTTATCTCCCCTTAGACCACAGAATGAGAAAAGTCAACCATTATGCATAGTAGATATTTTGAGTATTGTACAATATGTGTTGTATTATATTACAGTTAAATCGAGTATATGTGATATTTGACCAACCTACTACTGTATCTATGATAAAAATATGGAACTACAGTAAAACACCAGGAAGATGTATCAAAGACTTTGCAGTAAGTTCTCATTCTAATTTACTGTTAAATTATTGATCAGAAAATAACATTTAATTGAGTAATAGAGCAAAAATTTTGACTTCATGGAAGCTGACTTGAAGCCCCACGAATGAACAAGCAAATGAAATGGGGTTTAACTTAACATCCTATTTTTTTGCATCAACCAATCTTAATAAAGACCGGCATACCCCATCAGTGTGCTATGCGGGACATTTTGCTCTGCCTACCCTTATTTCTATTTTCAACTGTCAGTATCATCAGGTCTTTAGCATCCAAACCCATGCAACGTATTGTATATTTAAACATCATATCTTGATGTTTCTAGAAAAATGATTTCCTTTTTATTTTATTGTGAATGAGTAGATTTTTTTGATATATTTGAATAATGTTTATATATTGTAGTTATTAGTAGATGATTTATTAGTATATAATGGTACGCTAGAACCTGTGTCTGCTGGTGCCAGAGGTATAATACCAACTTGTACTGTTCCACAAAAATATCATACCATACTCTTTACGCAAAATCCTGATATTGTATGCAAAGAAAAAAACACGATCATTAAGTAAGTTTATTTAAATACATCCTTCCTACAAAGGGTAGATTACTTTATGTTCTGGTTTTATTCTGTTTCTCCAGTAATACAAATTCATGTGTATTAATTAAGCCAGTTTGTAATTACTACTTTTTTTACCAGGGAACTAAGTCATAGGTGTTGACTGTGTAGTAATTGATTAGTGTATTTGACAGAGGTTATAGAATTATGCATCTAGGAATTATCTGTATACCCCCGAACACCTGGGGCCTGTTTCACGAAATTTTAACTAAGATAAAATCCAAATTTTAGTAATTTGATTGGATAATATTAGATTGGTTTTAGTGCTTAGCCAATCAAAATTGAAGTATCTACTAAAATTTGGATTTTATCTTAAGTTAAAATTTCATGAAACAGACCCTGGTCATTATTTTAGGGGGGTGGTGAGGCATGATTCGGCAGACATAAGTGAACGTATGACAGTATTCCCTCCCTGTACTATGTATGATATTCGCAAGGTATTAAATATATTAAGGACAATGCAAAGGATTCACCACTAATTTAGTCCTTTACACCATTTCATATCTGTTTAGGATGCAGATTGCAGTGGATTATTCCAAATAGACATTATTTTTTTTGTTGAATGATACCTATTACATTAACACTATAATATAATTATTTTTTCTATTTTTGTAGTAATCATGCTGGAGAACAGGATGTACAATTATTAAATGATAAAAAAATTATAACTAAATATTCTGATCCAAAAAAAGCTCAGTCTGGCAAACCTGTCAATCAAGGTGAGAATTTTGAAGGCGTAGTTTTTTTATGTACAATATTGTAAATTGTTCATGCTGGCATAAATATATAGTTTCCACAGGTCTCTGGGAAATGTTCAGTCAAATAGAGCATGCCTAGAAAAAATTACCTCTTAGAAAACTGATGTGAAATAAAGATGAAATAGACACCCCCATCAATGGCAGTCGTAAGAGGAAATTTTGTGTGTGGATACACTGTTTGAAAGAAGTTTTATTATGAGATGGGAACTGAATATTAATACATGGATGTATTAAAAGATCTTCTGATTTGTTGTTAATTGAACATTAGCTTATAAGGGGAGATCACTCAGTGTTTTAGTCCCTGACACCATTTTATATCCCCTTAGACCACAGATTACAATAAGGGGATATTCGATTGGAAGTTCAGGAATTCCAAAAATAATGTCAATCAAATGAATAGGGGAATTTCGGAGTACAACACATTTGCCGACTGCAGAAAAAAATATCTCAACCAATCATGACAGCTAAAACATATTTGTTGTGTTGAATTATGTCACGATTCTACTCACACCACCTCAGCTGTTGGGACTGGCAGAACTGTGACAGGACTGACTTCTGTATCACTTGATTGCAATTCTGTCAATTCAGAACGTTCCGTACTAACAATCAAGCACCCCCTAAGTCTACAAAATAAAATAATTAATTAGTATCAACCTTTATTTTTTTAAAGTATATTCATTTACTATAATATTTCTGTTTAATTTTCATGTAGAATTGAGACCAAAAACAAGTGTAACAGCTCATATGAAAGGCAGAAGATGATACCAACAGAACTTTTACTTCAGCTTCATTATTCAATAAATTTTTTCTTCATTCACTATATAAGTCCATCTTTATTACGTGATATTTAAGTTATTGGATAGTTTGATGGTTTGTTAAGCAATATGAATATGCATTTTTTACAAATCATGACTTTAATATGTTTGTATCATGATTATCTTATATATTAGAACTTATAAATAATTAGTTATATTACACTGGTAATAAGCTTATTTCAGTCAGAAATGAATCATTTGCTATTATTAATCAGCTTATTAATTTCAAATTCAGGCAGTTTAAGCTCCATTCTATTAAAACAAAATCTCATATAATATCCCTGGTTTCTCTCGATAACTTCATTAAATGTAAATAGATACTATTTTTGTTGCTAACTTATTTAAGAATTGGGCTTTTGAAACAAATATTAAAATTTGAGAAATTTTGGTAGGTTTTCAAATAAGAGTAAACTGTAAGTGACCATAATATATTATGATTTTAAACTTGGCAAAGAATGGACATGATTGGATCGATGACCACATTGCTAGTTTCAACATGTTAATTATTATACAGATGTATTAATTATTTGAGAAAATGTCAGGATATCCTGTTGTTCAGTAGAACTAGAAGCTAACATGTCATCCCAAGCCATTATTAAGAATACATGTTCATACTATTTACAACAACAGATCTTGTCCATCACTTTTAACAACACCAGATCTTGTCCGTCACTGTTAACAACACCAGATCTTGTCCGTCACTGTTAACAACAGATCTTGTCTATCACTGGCCTGTGAAAACATTTCGAAGAGAATATTCTAATGAACATAGCACATAAGTGTAGAAGTAGGTGTGTGTGAAAATGCACATTATGCAAGCTGAAGGAAAGCAAATTAATTTTTCTCCAGATACATAATCTTTAGCTAATAATATTTCTTCAGACATAAAAACTCTTAATTTTTATATTATTCTTTATGTATATTACTACAGATATATATTAATTGTTATATGTATATTACATATAGATATATTGCTTTGTTATAAATGTATAGTGCCTATTGAAAGATTGTATAAAGGATGTAAATATGGAGATAAAATGTTACTACTGCAACTTGTACCAAGATGTTTTAGTATGTCATGTTATTTTCTGTGTATTTCATATGGTCACAAACTTTCTTCTTTAAGATGTGCGGTGAATGTGAACACATTGTTTGATGTAGAACTTTGTTATGATTATATTGTTTAACAATGTACCTCATTTCTACTAATAGCCTTCAGTGAGAAAGATAGGTAGTCCTGATAATAGCCCTGGAGAAACTCAATCAGGAATTTTGAATATCAGGACTGCTAAATTTTTGTCCAAATTAAAAATTGTAATTCTAACAGATATAGAATATCAATGGATACAACAACAAAAAATGAAAGTAATATGTTTGATTTGTATGATGGAAATGGAAGTGAATCTTTATTACAATCCCTCCATATTGTTTTTGTATTTTGACTGTGATAATCATCATTTTTACAAAAATATCATCAATCAAAATATATGTTGTCTTGTCATAATTTCGCTTTACGTGTCAATCCCTAAACTTGAAAATTGCATAATAATTATATTAATTGACATCCATGTGCATCCGTCCTAACCTATTCCTCGCAATGAATATGAATTCCAGTCTCTACTCCTTTAGTTCAAGGTGCAGGTAATTGAAGTTTTGTGTCCAGAAATTAGTAGGCCTACTAGAAAAAGGTCTAGTATAGATTTCTGGAAATATTTAACTTTTGAATGTGACAATAAAGGCGAGTCCTTCAGTTGGTAGAAAAACAATACTCCAAGAGGTCTTTCACCAGAGAATGGCCAGCATTTCCTCATGTCAAATAGACTGGGGGTGTGGGGTGCAATTGGTTAATGTGTGCGTGTTGTATCAGCAGGTCTGTCATTGAGTCAAGTGGCTTGGTTTTGAATCCCCGCTTGTGCGTGACAAAGAGTAGGGTCGCCTGTCCAACCTCATTGGGTTTTCAACCATGTTAGTCCCGAAATGACCTATTTTGTGTCTAGTAGACGTTAACCCCATTTGTCTCTCTCTCTCTATCAAACAGACTTATATAATAGTATTGAATATTATTGCATACATAGTTTTCGGAAAATGATATTAATTTTCTTTTACTCATTTTTTTGTGTATCTGCTGTTTATCTCTGTATAATCAAAATGAGCTATTATTGTTATGTATATTGTATTGAATTTCATCGAAATAAATCATCCATTTATATATTATTATTTTATTAAATGTGTTTCTGAAAATGATATTCTTCAATGGTTAATCAAAGATAAGTTGACAGGCAACAAAACATACACCCACAGCAGCCAAGTTGTCCAAGCAATCAATGAAGGAGGTCATATTGTAAATCTTTATGTAAATAGAAAGCAAAATCTATATACTGTTTAATATCATAGTGTTCATTAGATTATGTGACATAATCAAGGTTAATAACTCTGTAGGTATTTATGAGAATTATTCGCAATTCTTATTCAGAACAATCAAAAGAAACATCAGATCATGACTTTTTCTGTTGAAACATTCCAAAGAGCCATCATTGGCAAGATCTGCAAATTGCAAAGAGCCTTAACTTTAGAAGTCATTAACAGAAACTTGAAATTTCACAGGCTTCAGCCATTCTAAAAAGATTGGTTGATAAATGTAGTCTGTAGAGTGTATGCAAAAATTGTGGATGCTCCATTGACGGACAGGGTCAATGACATGTTAATGTGGGCGTATAAAAAGGAACCACATTTTTCTAAATGTTTCTTTTAGAACTATTAGAGTTGTGATATTCCCTGCAGTAAATATCTTATTCATAACATCTGTAATCTCTTAAAACTAGGGGGGAGGGGGTTGGATGGCCGAATGGTTAGCACATGCGTGCTGTATCACAAGGCCTGTCATTGAGTCAACTGGGGTGGTTTCGAATCTCCGGTTGTACGTGACAAGGAGTAGGGTCGTCTGTCCAACCTCGTGGGTTTTCTCCAGGTCCTCCCACTGCTAAAGACCCCTACGCACAAGCGAATTATTGAAATAAAATTAAACCATATGTTAGTCCCCGAATGACCTAGTTTGTGTCGAGTGGACGTTAAACCCCATTTTTCTCTCTCTTAAAACTATTGCAGGTCTTTTTTTCTGGCTTCAAATGTTATTTGTAACATGGACGGGAAATCTTCCTTTGTTCTTTTCGTTGAAAAAGCAGATTGTTTTCCCTCTAGTAGACTGGTTGGAGGTTAACCGTGCAATAACTAGACATGTTCAATGTTATTGCACTCTTTTGCTGGTTTACACTAGTTTTAGTAGAAATCATATAGAGAAGTGGGGGGTGGGTTTTCTATGCAATAACAACAAGCATGTTGAGCAGGTGTCAATGTTACAAGTCATTTATAGCACGCTTCGTCAACAGAAATGAAATGAAATGGGGTTTAACATCCTACTGTTCTGCTCCTACACTGGGCTAATGAAGAGGGGCATACACCATACAGTGTGCCATGAGGGAAATTTTGCCTGGGCAGTGGCACTACAGCCTACTCTTGTATCGAAATCCAACTGCCAAGGGATCTTTTATGTGCACGCCAATGTGTACACGGGATCTCGGTTTTTTGTACCATCGGAACGACTAGACAGCTGTCCTTGTCAGGCCCTGCGTTCTGCATCACTGACAAGGGGAAATCACGCTGGAAAATCTGGATGAACTTTCTCAGCCAATGCAGGGATCAAACACATAACCTCCAGGTTTAAAAGCTCAATACCACTCTTGTTGTAACTGAATAATATGTCCCAATCTTTATTCGGGTCAACAAATTGTACTATTTTACAATATTCCTATTAATTAAAGATACAAATTTCATCTTAACACACCTAATTTAAAAAATTGGAAAAATTCAACTAAATGATTTGAAAAGCCTGACCTTAATCTTTTCAAATGTGACTAGGATTTAAAAATATTTTTGAACCCTCTGGACAAGTAAAATAGGATTTAATGGATAATTTACACAACAGGTAAGACACTAACACATCTACTACTTAGAATAAGGCTATTTTTTATTTTCTGGAGCTGTCAAGCCAGCAAGAGTGTTATTGAACTTATTGTCCCTTTAACATCTTGGCCTACAGCCTCTCTAGACTTCGTTTTTTTTCATGGAAATAGTACTTGAAAATCAAGACTATTATGCTGTTTCTTGTCAAAACATCAACCTTTCATAGCTTCTCTCAGAATATAGTAATTTGATTGAAGTTTTAGTTTTAATTTTTCACCATGTATTTTAAAACTATTATAGCAGGGATGGCCAGCTCTTTATATCTTACATAATGCATCTTTAAAGATCATGATTGTGAGGTTTCATGCCTCTTTTTGTACAATTTTTATAATCTAGATGCATTTCTGTAGTATTCTTTAACACATTTGTTGGACAATAATTTCATCAACTGTCCGAAGTTTTAGGGAAGATCACTGATCAAAGAGACAGACTGTCCTGTTACGTATTTTGTTTAAAAAAACTGGATAGAACTATGAAATCCAACGATGGTATTCAGGAGAGATTTGATTGGATGATAAAAATAGACACACTGCATCAAAATGCCAAGTACAACAATGACTAGAGAGGGATTTCTTGGGCCACTGCTTCAGGAATATGTTGTTGGTCAGTCTATTAAGTTCTCCTTGTCGCTTAATATTGAATTTAAAAGTTACCCAACAACTTAAGTTTCAGTGAATAATTACCCAATTTTCTGCAGATTCAAAGGAAGTGGTTTCTATATTGTAACAATGTGCTGTGATAGCAGGAGTATGTACATACTTCCAAGGACAATCAGATTCCCAAAGGTTATGTTGTTTAAATCAGGCTTGATAAGAGTACTTTCAATCATTCCTTTCATTCAAATCAAAAACAAACCATCATCTCATAAATTTTAATCTTATTAAAACAAAATGTGAAGAACAATATTTCACTATAATTTATAGTTTGAATCTAGTCATTTTGGACACACAGTACAATTAGAATATTTTGGACCTAAAGTGATGTTACATTATATCTTTACAGGAAACGTGCCTGCTTCCATTTGATCATCCCATTTAGAAACCTGAAATGAACAAAAATAAAACAATGTGATTTATTAAACATACATTATGCAAGAGCTAAATCTGCCTATTGCAGGTCTTTCTTTATCTAAATTATTAATCTCTTTATCTAATCTCCAATAATGTATCTTTAAATATAGAAGTACACTAAAAGAAGTTCTGCTAAATATTTAAGTGCTTTTAGAAATATTTTGCAATATTCAGTTTGTCAAGCAACGTCTGATTTTCCTAATTTTTTTCATATTTTGAGCAGTTCATGATTTCAGCAGAATAATTGGGGATTCTCTCAATTTTCAGCTATGTCGGGAATAGATTCCTTATTTTATACAGCTAGATAACCTGTTAGAGACAGTGCGACTCCAACTGGAGATTGGCAGGGCGGCCAGCTGGGCTGTTGCAAAACTAGACCCTTGTAAACGAAATTTCCTGTGATGGAAATACTGATATAGAGAAATACTTAGGCTAACATTACCATATCAGTCGGCCGACAACAATCAATTGATGCTCAGAACCAAGTATAAAATGAAAACAAACATAATAAATATAACTAGTAAGTTCTTATTATAGTCTATATAACTAAGGTTCATTTCATTTCAGCCATCAATTATGTGTCTCCTTCAGGTAATGTCTGGATTGCAAATTTTAGATACTTTCAAACCTTAGTTTAGTCATCTATCCATTCATTACTGTCTAATAATTCAGTCTAATGTGCCCTAATGGTTAGACATTTCATTAATTTTAGACGTGAAAAGGGTCTTTGAGTCGAAGTAGAAGTAACGGAAGTCATCAGACCAAGATAAATCGTGAGAGTTACTTCTACATACTGTAGGCGAAATCTTGCTTTCTACAGGGTAAAATCAAATCATCATAAAGTGTTCTGCAAGAAGTGGATTAAACTCAATTTTAGGTATTGTGTGTTTATATAAGCTGGCCAACAAATTTGTGTTGTACATGTACATGTATTAGAAATACAAACGAATGTACTTCAATGCTACAGTTTGCTATTGATCCATACTCCATAAAGTAATGTCAACTATATTTATTTTCAAACGGAAACTTACTGCCATCATTAATTGGAATAACACTACAGACACAACAGAACACAACCTTACTCAAGGAGACCAGGCACTTTTTAATAATATTATTAAATAATACCTACCCAGGACATCGGACACAAAGACTGATATAAATTTTTAAAATATTCGCAAGGGGCATAATCTTCTCCCTTAATCTTCCTACATCGATGATAATCTATATAATTTTGGTTACAGTATCTGAAAAATAAAATTATAGATGAATGAATTAAGATTAATGCATTGTTAGACAAAAATCTGTTTCAGAGCAGTTTCAGAATCTGTTCACTTTACATTATTTCCCTGCATGTGCTAAACAATTAATGCCATTCATACATTTGTGCAATATTAAATGCAATTTCCATAAGTTAAGATTCAAATACTTAATAAAATACCTTGTTTGGTTCTGATTGGGAAATCGCGAGTCAAATGGAGCGGTCCTGTACCCAGACGGCTTCCCTTCAGACATAATGGCAGTTGACATTACTATAAATAGAAAATATGAATATATAAATAGAAAATTAATACAATTTGCTACTTACAACCAATAATTTGTATAGACACCATTTTAGTTGATTGTTCATGAAAGACAATTAACCATTGGCTGCCGAACTGTCCAAATATTGATAACAGCAGCAAGCCGGCAGGCAATTTTGTCTTTCATGGTCATTAATTTGGTGTACAACACAGAAAGTCAAGGAAGATACCAATTTACTGGAGAGACATTCAGTGAAAGATAATAATGATTGTCTTTAGCTTTCACATTACCACTGAATGTAAAAAGTTCCCAACAGAATATATCCTGTGTGTCTAAATGTACATTACTACTATGTATACATGTAGCCCTACTAATGCAGAAGGGGTCGTTATGTACCCTTCTTCTATAGACAGAAGAGTACCCTTGGAATCGGACACGCATATCTCCATAACAGTACCCAATTTCCCGTAATGGTACAGAATGTTGACGGTTTGCTGATCATGCCTTTATCATACGAAATGAAATGGGGTTTAACGTCCTACTGTTCTGCTCTGACTGAGATAATGAAGTCGGACATGCGCCATACACTGTGCTATAAGGGAAATTTTGCCCAGACAGCGACGCTGCGGGCTACTCTTATATTGAATTCCAACTGACGCCATTTATCAACGAGATTAAGCGTTTAATACTGTATAAATAATCACGAAGACTGGTATGCATTTTCCTGATATTTCGGATATTTCCCGCGAATACCTAGTTCCTTTAAGAACCGTGTCTGATCAGACTATAACTATAACTCAGTATACTGTAATTACCGTAATAAAAGTTAAAAGATTGCAATAATTTTTACGACAACATTGTGTGACCACCTGAGAGATATTAAGTTGGGTACCATCACAGAGTTTTCCTGCTAATCAGGTTCAGAAGGGTACTCAGGGTCAGATCGAGTTTCAGTGAGTTAGGCTACTAAATCAGTAAATGTGAGTAAATCCCCCCCCCCCCACCATTCAGCCCTACTAAAGATGCCTTAAATGGTTAGCCATAAACTAGCACCATTTATAAAGATGTCTTAAATGGAAAATGGTTTTGCCATAAACTAGCATTGCCATTACACTCAAACAAACAGTAAATAGATCTATTGACATTCACAACGATCGAGTCAATTTTTGTACTTTTCTCATTCTGCATGTGTCTGCATTTACGAATTATTCAATGATATTTCTGACTTAAATTGGATTTAGAAAGGAAACTGAACTTAAAATCGTTTACATAAAGTATGTTTTTGATTTAAATTATTTAATGAAACAACATTACTGCAAAAGAACAACATAAAATCTAATAAATGAAATGACCTTCCCGTTATGACCACTCAGAAAGATGGAGAAAGCTTCGGCACATTACGTACTTACGTTTCCGCTTCCTCCGTCGCGCTCGGTAACAAGCCTCGATCGACCAGGACCCGATCACTATGGTATTTCAATGTCCTTTGATGAATAAATACCGGCATTCGAATGTGTACGTGACGACAGGCAAATAATATTAACTTTTTAATAAAGACCACTGATTCTATTACACATTACGAGTTTTGTTACTACCCACACCAATAATCAATAAATAAACGCTTGATATAAATAAATAAATAATTTTTCACATGTTCATCGGTTAAAACAGCTGCACTAAGCAGGATTAAGGTTCGTTCTATAATTAATTGTCAAAACGGCGAAATGCCAAGAATTTGAAGAATGCTTCATTTTGATCGCGATTGAGGGTTTCGTTAAAATCAGAAATGTACGTGCTGATTTAGGTTGTAGTGCCGCTGTCCGGCGGTATGCCCGACTTTATTACAAGCCTATTAATTAGCCCTGTCGGAGCAGAGCATTAGGACTTTAAAGCCCACCTACTGCATTTCTTATTTCAGAAAGCCAGGCTTTGTAATTTTTAACTGTTTTGGGAAAATTCAAGTGTGACATCACTGGGGAATTTCCCCTTATTTATGGCCCCCATTTGTCTTCCTAAATTCAATAAATTCATGTAAGCTGATTAATATTTATCGGTCATTAACTGTTTTTCTGACGCAAAAGTGAATTTTTGGCAGACTGGTTAAACTGCTTGGCTACTCGAGATTTTGTTAGAATCCACAAACTTGAAATCCCAGGTGAAGGAGATATTGACTTTTATTAGAAGTATTTTGTTTCATAATACTATCACACGTCTTCCTGCCATTTTCGATTTTCTGTCATGGTTGATGACGGGGCACAGTGGGGCACATTTCAGAGGGGGAGTTTAGCTAAATCTCATCTGTCCATTTTAAAAAGAATCTGGATATTTGAGTTGTTTTTAAGGAAATATTGGTCCTAGGTTAAGAATCCGTACTCATAGGAGTTTTTCACATAAAAGATTTTTTTTTCTCCGTTAAAGATTTTTTTCTTCAATGTTAAGCTTTTTTTTTTTTTTTAAATTTTCAGCAGCATACTGTGTTCAAGTCTTAAAACAATTTCATATTTTGAACTAAAAGTTTAGTTTTTACAGTTCTTATATGAGTTTCTGTGTGTTTACTATACATTTTTTAAAAAGAAACATACTTAATGGCCAACTGTGTCCCACAGTTAGATTTCTGGTCTCCGGGGAACGCTGCTGGAATAGTCTTATTCGTAGAATTCAGGTGGTCAATGTGGGATTTCGGTCCATATTAAACATTCCAACAGTTTGAACATTCTACCTCAATTAGGAGAAATATTGTGCCCCAAAGCATCAACCAATCAAATTGCTTATCTCTGCTTACCCTAAGCAGCTAAGCAGAAAATTCTCATCTTCGAACTCCATCAAGGCATTGACCTAATAAACACCTACACCACGTTTGAACATTCTAGCTCGATCAATTAGAATGAGGGTTATTGTGTTCCAAAAGCTCTACCAATGAAATTGCTTATCGCTCTGCTTACCCTCAGCAGAAAAGGCTCATTATCGAACTTAGTCAAGGTATTGATGTAATAAAACTATACACCAAATTTCATTACTCTCACTTATTAGAATTAAAGTTATCATGTTCCAAAGCATCAACCAATCAAATTGCTTATCTTCCTTACCCTAAGCAGAAAATGCTCATCTTCGAACTCCATCAAGACATAGGCCTAATAAACACCTACACCACGTTTTAACATTCTAGCTCAATTAGAAGGAAAGTTATTGAGTCCCAAAAAGCGTGACAGACAGACCCATTTTCATAGTCCCCTGCTTTCTTCAAAAGGCGGGCGACAACAATTACAATCAGAGTTATTGTGTCTCAAAATGTGCAATGGACCGACAGATGGAGAAACATTGCAGTAGGCAAGGGCCCCCCTGAAACAAATACATACTGTAGACTGTGCCCCCCCCCCCAAAAAAAAAAAAAACTTCTCTGCCAGCAAGCTAGCTATGGGCCTGCAGTAGTCTACCACTGCATGTGACTGGAAAGTTCCTCTTTAAGAACAATCCCAAAATTAAAAAAAAACAACCTCCCATCAAAAACTGACCATGTTAAAGCTGTAATAAATCTAATTGTTAACTGCATATTAATTTCGAAATTCTAACAGTTTAAGCTCTGTTAATTCCATGCTTGTTTAATCATGTCCATTATATGCCTATAATGTTAAGCGCTGCACTGGCGTGCTAATCTGGAGGTCCCGAGTTCAATCCTGGTTTTGGGTTTAGAAAGTAAATTAGGATTGTCCGTGTGGCTCCACATTGTCAGTAGTGCAGGACAGGAGGGCCTGGTAAAGAACAATATGTTCTTTGGATGGGCAAAACACCGAAGTCCCTGGTATATATTGGTATGCATGTAAAATATCCCTCGACAGTTGGATTTAATACTAGAGTAGGCCATACACATAGTGCCGCTGTTTGAGCAGAATTTCCTTCATAGCACACGGTATGTTGTACCACAGGAATCTGACCTATCCGTATATATATGCATACACCATGTCGTACCAGACAATATAATAAATTGTCTGGTACCACATGGTGTATGCATATATATATGGATAGGTCGGATTCCTGTGATTGTACACCCATCTTCATTACCCCAGTCAGAGCAGAAAAGTAGAACATCAAACCCCATTTCATTTCTATGTTTTTTTACCGCTTTTTTGAAGCCTCAACTGAAATGTTGAAATTATAAAATGGCCCCGACAGGCTTCCATAGTACCACAGCAAACAACCTGATTTTTTAGTAGCCTATCAATTAAAGAATTAAAGTTTTCAAATGTACTTCAGAAATGTGGAGGTTTGTAGGATTAAATAAGTTTGCAGATGACCATAATTTACTTCAATACAAAGGTTGAAGGTGGTTTGTTTTTTATAGATTAATAACAATATTGCTTCTTTAAGATGGCATCAAGTTGAATGTTAAACATATCTTGGTGACATGCTATCAAAATATGTGAATTTGAAAAAAATCAATGATCTTGTGGACGAAAGCCTGACTAGAATCGAAGTTGACAATACATGTAATCCACATTCATTTATTGTGAACGAATTAAAATGAAAGACAAGATTCTGGGCCATTGGCATAAATAAAAATAATACAAAATTCATATAGTTTCACTTTTTTTTTTATTCCCCAGATTTTTAATTTAAAGATTTTGTTTTCGATATCTGTCCATCCAGGCACGGAGGGGACCGTGATCTGGTTTATATTGGACACTGACGCCATCTGGAACCAATTGACCTTCCTTCATCTTAATATCGTAATCTTCTCGTGACCATTTGGTGAATCCCCATTTCTTGGAACAGTAGATCTACAAAAGATTATGAAAATAAATAATATATCACAAAGAAAAACAATGAATAAAGTTGTCAAATACCCGCAAAAAATAATACAGACTTGAATACTGAAAGGTCCTTATAATAATAAAAGCTGTCAGATCTTCAAGTAGAAGAGGCCATTGAAAGTATAAAAAAACAAAACGAAATATACATCTGTATTTTAATCAGATTGGGCAGTTGTGTTCTGATTTTCACGAAATTCAAACTGAACTGACATTACCGTGATATATTGGAACAATTTTTTAAATTGGATAATAATTGTGATCTCTAAAGGGACCACAAGCTAAAAACATGATTTTTCATACAATCAGGAGCCATAATTCAGGAATTTACAATCTGATATACGCAATATCGAAAGGAACAAGATCTTAGGGTTATAAACATGCATTTCAAGTTTCATCAAAATCAGATGAAAATTGTGACCTCTAGAGTGTCCACAAGCTAAAAACATGATTTTTCATAGAATTAGGGGCCATAATCCATGAAGCTTCAATCTGATACATGCTAATATCAAAAAAACCCAAGATCTTTTGGAGATAAACCTATATTTCAAGTTTCGTCAAATCGGATAAGAATTGTGACCTGTAGTGTGTCCACAAACAAATTGTGGACGGACAGGAGTGACGACAATATACATCCACATGTAAATGAGGGCGTATAAAAATGAATAAAGGCGTTTGGAGTATATCTGAACAAAAAATATTTCCGATAGAGCTTATGTAAACAATGCACACACTTATCAAGCCAATGATCAACACTGTATGATTTGATGTCACATGTAAAAGGCATTTCAACTTATAAAGGTCAGTCATCTTACACAGAGTTATAAGAAAGCTTTTGTAATATCTCTGTGAAACAGATTACAAAAATCACAGGTTTTGACAAGATTAAATATGAAATGAAATGAGGTTTAACTCCTACTGTTCTGCTCCAAACTGGGCAAATGAAGTGCATACGCCATACAGTGTGCTATGAGGAAAATTTTGCCCGGACAGCGGCACTACAGCCTACCCTTATATCGAATTCCAACTGTCAAGGAATCTTTTACGAGCATGCCAATGTGTACAAGGGACCTCGGTTTTCTTTCCCATCCGAATGACTAGACAGCTGTCCTTGTCAGCCACTCCGCCCACAATAACATAAAATTTTAGTTTTACATAATAAAAGTAAAAGCTCCATATACTCTGTAAGGAGATTGTATTTTATCCAAAACCCTACTAAAACAATCATTACCTTTTGTCTGCCTGGGTACTTAAATTTGGCTCGACGAAGAGCTTCAATAACATGAGCTTGATTGGTATCTCTACATCTTACAGATAAGATGGGTTGTCCAATATTTACTCTGGCCACTGTACCTTGGGGTTTACCATAAGCACCACGCATACCAGTCTGGAGCCTATAATACAATCACATCTTTTACTGCTACATGTCCATACAAAATACATGTATATACATTATGTACAACAAAGAATATGTCCAATCTGATTAAAACTCTGGTTTAACAATCAGTTTCAAAATTGTAATTACCAATGTTTACTTTAATAAATGATAGAAAAAGGACACACAGTGACACAGTTAATATTAAAAGTGGACATGCATTTTAAACTATTACTCCTTTATATCTCCTGCATTGGTGAGATAAATGATGGAAACAATTCACCTACATTTTTTACTAATATGATATCTGAAAGCAGACACAAAAGTTCAATGAAATTGTACAACAGTAGTAAATCGTTCAATTTACACACATTGAAATGTATGCCAGTTAATCCGTCACCTACAGCTACATGTATTTTCACAAATGAATTGATGAATAGTTTTTTCCTTTTACTTTTCTGACCCGATTTATGAGTAGGGAAGTTTTACACGTGGTTTGTCATGCTTAGACCATATGTAAATTCAAAATAAGGAATTGCAATAGGCAGATTTAGCTCTTACACAATGCACCCTTAAACAAATTCTGCAATTCTAATATCTATTGACTTAAAAATTAAAAAAATATTTGTATTCAAGATGTTAATTTTTAACTCGTACCTATCAGCTCCAGCACACGACAACATCTTATTGATCCTGACAACATGGAAAGGATGGACTCGTACTCTAAGATGGAAAGCATCTTTACCACAATGTTTTACTAAGTATTTGTTGGCGCAAATACGTCCAGCTTCCAGAGCTTCAGAACTCAGTTGTTCATATTCATCAGAAACCAAATGGATACATGCAGGGAATTCATCCACTCGAGCCTTCTTTTTACCCAAATCAAAAATTCTGATTTTGGGATCTGAAATATATTTCAAAACAACAAGTTGAACAATTGACTATCAGGTTTGGATGAATCAATTCTTAAAAGTGTTATTTGTTTCATTAAGCGATGTTATCCAGGGATAAACATTGTATATTTTTCCAGAGCAGACAGTTGCATTTACTGAATTCTAAATAATTATTAGGGTACATAGGTACATCTAACACATACAATCAAATGATTGATTACTCAGACTGTTGATAAAACAAATACATGTAGCTATTTAAAGCGAGAATTTCAAATTTTCTAAGAAAGTCAAAACATAATTATTTCTGTCTTTTGCTCAATAGGTTATCAAATCACTACGATCATGGGCATTATTTCCCACCCTTAAAAATCTATGACACAGGAAATAACAACACAATTACCTCCCCTGTTTTGCTATTGACAACATGAGGCAGCCATTTTCCAACGTTGGAATTTGAAGTTAAAAATGATATTTTTGCCAATTTCTCAGCTGGCAATAGTGAATTATAGGATTAATAGGATTATTCTTTAACAAGGTAGGACTGTTTATGGATACCATCTATTTTAAGGCTTTATTTTAATACATTTTAAAAATATAAGTTGAAAATTTGTAATTGCAACTTTAAAGGATATTGTTACAATTTCTTCACACTGTAGGCCCTACACGTACGTAATCTAAAACTGACAATCTTTACATACATTATATACTTACCAGGTACACCTCTACAAAATCTTGATTTGGGGTATGGTTTATTTTTACAGTATCTGTAACTAAAAAACAAACACATTAAAATTGGATCAGATGGGTGCCACCCAATATGTAACAAAAGTAGGGTGACCCGTGCAGTCTACAGAAAGTTGGTCTCGACACGGCTAAATGTGCACGCTTCAGTTGCGTGTCTCGAACTGATTTCTGACTACCACGCACTCTCTTTGAGTCGATAAATAGCCATGGCACGTGCAATTCTCTACAAATATATCAACTATTACAGCCGTAAAAAATCTATTGTTGACGATTTTGAATAGCAGTAAAATTTAGCTTCTTGGTTATTACAGCAGCTTTAGAAATTATGTTTGTTTTATTTTTTAAATTGCTTTATCATTAACTGTACCGTTAAGAGCGGCATCTTTTGGTTTAGTACAAATAATATCTCTGAAACACTCGGGTTAGACAGGAACATGATACTAGCAGTAGTTTCATTTTACTTTTACAAGTTTCTTAAAACAATTGTTGAGTTGTCTAAAGTGCTCATTTCTAAATTCAATTTCTTGTTCTAGCTTTCTGTTATGTTTCTGTGCAAACATAAGTAAATTTTCAAAACCACTAGCCAAACAAAATTTTCAGTTGCCAAGTCTGAAGATTAGAATAATTTGTCGTATGATATAGCTAAATTATATTGTGAACATACATAACTCGTCGTCCTATAATAATAATAAAAAAAGATGTTTTAAACATTTTTTTCTGACTGGGACTCACTGCGAGACTAAGACGGCGGTCGGCGAGGCTTGTAATTTTGCTTGTTTGGGTGGTGTAGCGTCAGTAGCACGACTATCATCATTTTTCCCCAACTGAGACTCACTGCGAGACAAAGTTACTTTACTAGTAAAGTAAGACGATATAGGTTTGATTCGTCTGCTAGCCATGCTGTCAGCTGTCTCGCAAACTTCCGATAAATACAGCGCATGAGCAATGAGAATTTCCTCGCAGAGGACAATGAGATTGACCCAATTTCAAACCAGGAAAGTAACAAGAGTGACATTTGACTGGGATCATTGCCGATTACGTTATCTTTACGGAGAAAAGTTCAGATAGCTATAGTGTTAATTGGGGACTTCAAGATATATGTTCACTCGCCAGAAACCTAGCATTTATAAATATCTGGTCGCCATTGTCAAAATTCAGTGTTTCAGTCGCATTGTAGAGCCTTGCACGTAACCTATCTTTTACTCGAAAGTGTCTTGATGTTATGGACGACACTTGGAACCAGTTTCCAGTCTATTATTTATAAATGATTAATGTTCATAGCTTATTAAATACAACATGATCGTTTATTTAGTGACTATAATTGTGTGAAACTGATTTGAGGCTTGGCATATATATAAATATTGTGGCGTAATTGTCGAGATATTTGGAGATATTTATTTATGGTGGGTCACCCTAACAAAAGTGGGAATTTGGGAGTGAAGATGATCAAAATACTTATTACCACTGATGTTTTTCTTATAGGAGCGTTTACGTGTGACGTATTTCCAGTGTCTATTTTTAGCCTGGCCTTTTTCTTCTTGCATCTTAACATGGCAAATACTAGAGAAAACAGGTTTTTTAGTCTTTTTCTTTCAATAGAAATTAGAAAACGTATTCATGAATGCCACTCTTGTAAGATGCGTGTAGCATTCGTAATAAATCTTACACGTATATATAGGTATTTTCACAAAAAAAAACACACAATGGCCTATGGGTTTCAGTCTACGAACAAGGCCAGGGTATGCGCATGACAAAAATGATGTCGAAAGGGAAACCCGTAAAAGCTCCTATAATTTATTACTGTATTACTGTAGATTATCAACTTTAATTCCCTATAAATACTCTATCAATCAAGGAATCAGTGAGTAAAAGTCCATTACAGGTTTCTGAAAATGGATAAGTTTCTCAGAAAACTGACAGTGCTTACTTAATTATTATATGGAATATCATTATCTCTTTATAGTACAAGTGATAAATATAGGTATATGGAACAGCAAAACAATGAATAACTTATTTCCCCCAAAGTTGCCAAACATATTGATGTTCAAAAAATTGTAGGCTACAGTTGTTGCACCTTGACCTTGTCAGGTGTTGAATTCTGTAAATAATCATTTTGTTGCAATGGATCAATTTTTGTTAAAATTGAGTTAATATATTTGTGTATGTATTTATAAATGTGTTTGACTTCCAAACTGCCACATGAAACCAACAGATTAATCTAGAAGAATCAACCAGACCATGAAATAGCAATTTTTAATTTCGATTCAAGTTATGAAACGTTTCATTTTTATAAATATTATGTCAAAATAAATGAATGACAAGATAATAAAGAACAGTGTTGAAAACTCTTGATTCTTTAATACTATAGTTTCTCTGAAGACGAGATTACCAGAACATTTATTGTCAATCCACTGGCATTAGTTCACAACAAGCCATGCACGTAAGCAGTACTTACCACCGAGCTGGTCGGCGACCCATTTTGTATCTGAAAAATAAACAATATGGAATAAAGCTTTTACTAAATCACTAGGTCGAGTTGAAGATTGTTATTTCATCAACCATACTTAACGTTTAACTACATAAATAAAAAGCCGAATAGGCCGATTAAAATGGATTTAATTCAGGTTATAGAAAGAAACATCCAACATGACTACCTACTTTAGAAGGGAAAGAACTCCAATTTACCGGAAGTTGAAGTCATGTGACATGACTGACTGAATTTATTTATGGAGGCGTCAATAACCTCAATCACAATAAACATGATAAAGAGGAAAATGGGATAAAATAAAATGGAAACAGGTGAATAAATAGATTGAACAATGTGTATAGATGTTGTATAAACAGTTACAATTAATTTTGAGCTAATTTTAAGGGCAACTACCTTACCTTTACCTTTTGCATTGTGACATTGTTATTGTATTTTACTATAGGCCTATTAGATTTGTTTATTTTGACTATTTTGAGTGATGAAACTTTTAACTTTTTAGTTTGGATCCCTTTGCTAGACTGCTTGGTGATGGTGTATTTGATAGTTCAGTTTTTAAACCGCAAAAGGAGGAAAGACGGGTAGAGTATTTGGACTGGGACTATATAATGATATCTACTGTCTGATTCATCGTAAATTTTAAACGGATTTCTTCGATTATGAACAAACTACTTAACGTTGGTTATTATAAACTTACCTGTGTGTTTGTAATGAACTCCCGTTCGATAAAATCCATTGCACAACTAATTATCACAACGATGAAAACAAGTTCTCTCTTGAAAAATTGAAATATCACAAACTTTTCCCAGAGAAAAATACCAATATGGAAGATGGTTACGTCACTCTGCGGAAGATATCATTTCGTATTAGGGGTGACAGCATAGGAAATTCAAATACAATTACGACAAGAATCCATGACCACTCGGACCAAAGACCACTCGGTTCAAGACCAGTCGGACCAACTGATAGACCACTCAGCCCAAACAAATAGACTACTCGGACCATACAAAAAGACTATTCGGACCCAACAGAAAGACCACTCGGACCAATAATAAAATGTTGTTTTAATAAATTGATAATTTCGTTTGTTTTAATATAATTACTCGAACCAACAAAAAAATTTTATTTTAATAAATTGATAATTGTGTTTATTTTAATATGACTACTCGAACCAATAATAAAGTGTTATTTGAATAAATTGCTAATTGTGTGTGTTTTAATATGACTACTCGAACTAATAATAACGTGTTGTTTGAATAAATTGATAATTGTATTCCAAATCGCAAAATATCGAGAACCACACTTGTAGTCACGTTTAAAAAGGGACATATAAACGTCCGGTCTTCGTATTATTATGTGCTGTTTATATTAACGCATCAAGGGCGGATAACTTGAAAACGTGTCTCCACCCCCCCCCCTCCATATATAGTAACCCAGGGGTTAGTGGGGTAGAACGGAATGAAACCACTGGGGATACCGCGAATGTGGAAAAAGTAAAATTAGGCTATCAGACAAGAACAGTATACCCGTATATGTAGAAACTGTCAAAAGTCTGGACATACCGAGTCTCATTGCAAGAGTAAAGAAAAATTAGATTGATATTTTTTTTTGGCACCATTATTAATTAATTTTAAAACTAATCGTTGATTTATTTTCCGTACACAAAATTGAACCAAACAACTCTAAATATAAGAATTCCGTATAAGAATTATTTGCTTCTTTGTATTGTGATTTAATAATAAATAAATAGCATATTGTCTAGCCTTATAATATAATTTAATTGGTCCGACTGGTCTTGTTTTGGTCCGACTGGTCTTAGTCCGAGTAGTCTTTGGTCCGAGTGGTCTGGATACCTACGACAATTGGCATTGAGTTTGAGCGTTCGCACACATAACTACCCGCATTCCTGTATTTAGTTACCGTCTTTTACATTCTAGTAAAATCTCTGCAAATTTTATAGCTTTACTTTTTGAAATATTTTGTTCTAATTATTTGATTAGCGACTCGGATGGGATTATTTACTTTTGAACACGCATGCCGCACAAACACAACTATACATTCGTTTAACGGGCTTTATCACACTTCGGTCAAAACTGTTGAATCGAGAATTAATGTTCCGCTTCTTACGGGGTCATACGGGCTTAGTAGCATTATATACCCACCCGGGCTCCCAGTACGGCAATAGACACGCTGAGGGCTGCCGCAACACGCTTTAAGATGTTACTGAAGCGGTTATTATTCGATCGAAAGAATGCGTATAAAATTAAAAATACACTCAGAGAATTCGGAGGTAAGCTTTATGATCCTTGTTAAATTATTTATAACATAAAGAAGATAGGATATTTATAGTTTATTCATGACTTTATTTTTACGAGTATCCGTGCAATCAGTGATATTTTAATTGTGAAGAAAATTTGATAGACTGGCGATCAATGGTTTCCATATAAATCTCCTATGTAATTGCCTTCAATTGATATTTTTCGTCGCCCAAACCCATATACGATCAAAATGATCGCGCTGTCAAACTATCTTTCAATGTTAACCAACCCCCGCAACAGGTATATTGGATTCGACCATTACGTCACGAAGACATTGTTGACATCGACTCTGTCGAAATTACAAGTAAATTTTCAAATTTTTCAAGAGAGAAATTGTTCTCATCGTTGTGATAATTAGTTGTGCAATGGATTTTATCGAACGGGAGTTCATTACAAACACACAGGTAAGTTTATAATAACCAAAGTTAAGTAGTTTGTTCATAATCGAAGAAATCCGTTTAAAATTTACGATGAATCAGACAGTAATAAGATTATTAAAAAAAGGAAATGGGATGGAAAAACCCTTAACTTTTAAGGAAGTTAAAACTTAACCCTAGGTAGGGTCTAGTCTGCAGAGTATGTCTGATTTTGATGAGATCTCACACATGCAATGAAAATGCTTACTAAATCCTGGCATGCAACCTAAAACTTCAAGCGTGAAGGACATGCGTGATAAAATAGGCTATTTTTGCCTGGCGTATAATTTTAAAAAGTACCACTGAAATTTGAAATTGTAGCAACCACTGCACACGTACATTAGCCACACACAACAACTTGATTGGGTCACTTTGACTAGCTCACTTAGTCGACCACTACTTACCGTTAAGATACATTGTAGTTGTTACCCTTGAAAAATGTGTGTTTGTTCAGAACCCCTGTTTATTGCAGATCGTCAACAGATTACGGAAGACATGACAATTAGTACAAATTAAAGTTTCTTCGTGCAAGGTACAAATGCTGTGCCACACCAGGCGTACAAATCTAAATAAAATTAGTGTACACCAATCTATGAAAAAAATTACTTAATTTTTATCGATTTTTGATAATTGATATTGATAAAAGTTATTGTGATATGAGTTGAAATAAATTTTGACTAAAGAGAGAGAAATAGGATTTAACATCCACTGGACACAAACCACTGTCTGAACCATCGTAAATTTTAAACGGATTTCTTCGATTATAAACAAACTACTGAACTTTGGTTATTATATACTTACCTGTGTGTTTCAAATCAACTCCCATTAAATAAAATCCATTGCACAACTAATTATCCCAACGAATAAAAAAGTTCTCTCTTGAAAAATTGAAATCCCACAAACTTTTGGCAAAGAAAAATACCAATATGGAAGCTGATTACGTCACACTTCGGAAAATATCATTTCGTATAAGGGGTGACAGATAGCAAATCGAAACGATTTTCTTTTTTGTTACGACAATTCAAATTTGGTTTAAGAATAAGCTATAAGTCTCGGCATTGAGTTTAAGCGTTCACACACTTACCATCTTTTATATTCTAGTAAAATCTCTGCAAAGTTTGTAACTTTACCTTTTGAAATATTTTGTTTTAATTATTTGATTAGCGACTCGGATGGGACAATTTTCTTTTGAACACACATGCCGCACAAAAACAATTACATTCGTTTTACAGGCCTTAAATATTACCCATGATTATAATCTTTAATATGATATATAAAATGATAATATATAGATTTAATACGTACAGGCTATTTACAATTATGGGGTGATAATGTGATAAGCATTTACAATAAATTAAAAAGATAGTTAATGATAGAGAACATATTTACAGTATGAAAAATGAAATATTGCACCTTCCTCCACTCTCTCACCAATACACATCCGTAAGTGTATTTGAATAATGTATCTGGAATCTAGGACATAATTGTACTTACATATTGACCCTTTCTATACAGACTGTGGATAGTTTCCCTTATCACGCTGCGATCAAAACTGTTGAATCAGGCATTAATGTCACGCTTCTTACGGGGTCTTACGGGCTTATTAGCATTATATACCCACCCAATGGGCACTTTGAGAGCTGCCGCAACACGCTTATAGATGTTATTGAAGCGGTTATTATTTGATCGAAAGAATGCTATTAAATTAACAATACATTCATAGACTTCGGAGGTGAGCTTCATGTTCCTTGTTAAATTATTTATAACATAAAGAAGATAGGATATTTTTAGTTTATATATGACTTTATTTTTACGACTCGTATCCGTGCAATCAGTGAATAAAATTTGATAGACTGGGGATCAATGGTTTCAATATAAATCTCCTATGTAATTGCCTTTAATTCATAATTTTCGTTACTCAAACGATCGAAACGATCGCAGTTTGTTTTCATTGCAACACGTGGTTGTCAAACTATCTGTCAAAGTCAAACCACCCTTGCAACAGCTCTATTGGATTCGCCCAACACGTGACGAAAGCATTGTTGTCTTCCTGTCAGTCGAAATAACAAGTAAATAGTCAAATTTGTCAAGAGAGAACTTTTTTATTCGTTGGAATATTTAGTTGTACAATGGATTTTATTGAACGAGAGTTGATTTCAAACACACAGGTAAGTTTATAATAACCAAAGTTAAGTAGTTTATTCATAATCAAAGAAATCCATTTAAAATTTACGATGGTTCAGGCAGTAGGTCATTTCGGGACCAACACATTGATCAATTTTATTTCAATAATTCGCTCGTGCGGAGGGGTCTTTAGCAGTGGGAGGAATCCGAAGGACACAGATAAAACCCACAAGATTGGACAGATGGGGAATCGAAACCACAATTTTTTAAATTATTAAAGATGTGTTATGTAAGAGCTAAATCTACCTACATGTATATAGTATTACAGGTATTTATTTTGGCTTCGAATGTTATATAAATTATTATTTAGACATTTATTCACATGACATAATGTGACATCACACGTAGACCTATATTACATGTGACCTTACAAGGCAGTCATTTTTCGCAACACCCCTGTGAAACAGATTGTGAAAACAGTTTAAAACACCTTCAATAAATTCTCTTAAGTCTCTGGTTCAATTTAAAAATTTAACTGGATTTATTTTAAATTTATTAAAATTGTTAACCATGAGATTATTCATCAGTACTAAAAACACTATCAATTATCATTCATTCAATGTGCTTGATAATGACAAGAGGATTTCGTTGGAATGTTGTAATAAATCCAGTGATTGTTCCAACTAGAATTTGTGTTCTGTTAATCAATTAACCTATTAAATTTTATGATTGAGTTAGGTTCAAGTTGAAAATGGGATTATTTATCATAAGGTGTATGTGCATATACAGTGAAATGAAATACATGTAAAATACATTTTAACTGTTTATGATCTGGAAATGAAAACACACACACCATGTATCTGTGATACATTTTTAAGAAGTTAGACACCAACATCCTGTTGTCATGTTGAATTGGATTAAAGTGTTTGGACTAACAATCACCTTAGTTTCTGCAGACAACTACCTACTTTAATTTTGTTTTATTATTGTTTCCCCAACATGTAATGGACTTTTTGCTGGTTATATTCCTGCATTTAAGTATCAGATGGCAAAGTTTACAAAAACTTGCATTTATCAGGTCATCACTCAATAAAAAAATTATTGTGATCACTCTAAAATAGAATTAACTCCTATAAATTGCTCATTATTTTGTACTGAATCTTTCAGACAAGACAAATACATCATTTCTTAACATTTTGATTGTATACTTAAAACATTTATTTGGTGTTTATCAAATGTGGTTATTAGTGGTCCTTGGCAGTAAAGAGATGGATCATTTGGAAAGGCATACTTGAATATGTATAAGGCTGTTACATTGTACAAAGATTCAAAGCTAGATAAACTCATATTTTTTTTTATAAATAATTGGTCCTGTGTTGTGTTGGATTTGGTTTGATTATGTACTAGTTGGTTGTTTGTGTAGATTATAATTAGATTAATTGGTAACAATTGAAAGTGTTTAAATATAAACAAAGATTAGTTTGATATTGATATTATCAGTAAATGATAGTTTACTGATCGTAACTATTTGTACTTGGTACAACTGTATTATGCATTATAATTTATATTATCTAGTTGTTTTTCAAGAGACATACCAGTTTTGAACTCCAGGAAGTGGAAAATCAATTGTATTTTGTACCACACAATAGGATATTTTTATATGAATTATATTTGTTTGAGGAAGTCCAAATTTAACATTTGGTTTTATTAGTCAGAAAAAATTCAAAGTACTTTTAGTACCTATTATTTTAAAAAAGATGCTCTGAAGCTTGATCAGTTTATTTATTGTTTTAAAAACGTTTGACCAGATAATAATTTACTCTAGTTTTATGTATATATAGTTAACAATAGATTTTCTGTTCCAGGTGATGATCCTCGCCTAACTGAAAGACAGAATATACTGACACGTCTGTTAGATTCTGTTAAACAGGTAAATAAATTACATATATTTTCTTCATATGATGAAAGTTTATTACTTTCTGTATTTGAAAGATTTTAGAAACTCTTATGACATTGTCACGCACCACTGACAAAGGGAAACCACGATAGTATGACTCCTAATACAAGTATTTATTGTGCTATGTAAATTTGAATGTTATGTTATGATTAGGCTGACTTTCTTGGCCCAGAATTTCTTATGAATGTATAAGCTAAACTTTTTAGTGGAAATTTTGCTAAACATTTAAATTTTACATGTGATTCTTGTGGCATTCATCAAGCTAATAAACATCTCATTGTAGACAAAGGAAACAGGAAAGGATTTTCTAGAATTTATTTTGTTTTGAACAATAGCATCTTGTTTTTTCAGTGTCAAGTAAGGTTTGGTGGAAGATCAGAACTTGCTGCTGATGGGGATAGCAGGTATATTTTATATTTATACAGATTGACCTATGTATAATAATTTATAAACTAATATTGACACCCATATCTACATGAATTTGATTAAACTTGTTAATCCACTTTTGAAGATTATATTTACTAGTAAACAACAATCTCAATCTCAGCCTAACACCAACTGAAGCACTGGGTCTTAGTGAATTGTAACATTTTCTTTTGTCAAAATGTGAAGAAAAAATAAGTTAATTTTAAAGTTTTACATGTCTTCATTTACTTCCATAGTAAGATGTTAAATGTCTGTTACCTGTGTATGTATACGTTTTTTTGTTGTTTTTTCTCAGGGTATCATGTCTGTGTTCAGCTTGGGAAACTGCTTTACAACATGGAATGAAACAGAATAATAAAGCTTTATTAGCTATCAAGTAAGAAGTCACATATTCTATAAACTGTTTTACAAAGTAGATGATGACTTCATGACTTAAGTGTTGTACTTTATTTGCTTATTAAATGAAATGAAATGGGTTTTAATGTCCTACTTTTCTGCTCCAACCAAACTGATGAAGACAGGCTAATACCATGCTTTGTGCTATGAGGGGAAATTTTGGATTTTCAGCTATTCTTCATTAAATTCCATTTGTTAAGGGTTCTTTCAAATACATGCCAACAAGTACACATGTGAAAAGACTTCATGCAGTTTACAAACTCTAGATCTTTCAGTAAATCTTTAAATAACAAAAAGATCTTTCTCATTCTCTGCTCCTCTCTTTGCCTTACAACATTAGAACCATTGATTCCTCAAATGCAGTTAAACCTCATTTAAAGACTTTCCTATTTACAAAAGTGTTTACATGAATATTTGAAAAGCACAATAAAAACTTTGGTTTTAGTATTATTGCGCTATATTATATCATTTTTGTTGATATCTTTAATCTATGTCTGGCACAAAGTTAAAATTGTTAGGTATATCTTTAGCTGACTTTACTTCAGGTACAGTAAAACCAGGTCTGTAATCATGATTACATATATCCTCTCTAATGTCTTTCAGACAAGTTGGTGAAATAACTGGATTATCTAAAGTAACAGATTTTTTCTCTGATATTAAAAATGTTGAAGGGGAACCAGGTATAGTCACATTTTATTTACTTCTTAATCTAGTACATTGTATATAGAAGACCTACCATAGTTTACACTTGATGTAATTCTATGGAATACAAGTTCTGGTGATTACTGCATGATGGTGTGGTGATGTTTTATAAAGTCCAGAATCCTAATCAAAATATCACTCAGTAATGACCAGTATTTGTATTCTATAGAATTATAATCTCAGTGTTGTGTATTTCTAGTTTAGATGTCATTGACAAAAATCTTCTTGAGTATGTGATATCTATTCTAGATGCAAAACATGTCTTTAAGTGTATTGATTCTGTTGCCAGGATGTCTTCTTACCCCATTTGTTTACCTCATACTGATAGTCTTAATATCACTTATCACTCGATGGGAACAGTATTCTCATTTCTCACACTTGCACACATTAAAATTCACAAAATATTTGCTGTCTTGTACTTAGGCCACACAAATTAGAACTTTTGTTCTTGGAGATCATCTGTAGAAATTTTGCTTCCTATTTCTTAAGAGAAAATAAAACATTTATAAATAAAAACAAAAATTGCTTGATAGCACTTCTCAAAAGCTTTGAGTTCCAATATTTTAGGTTTTGAAATACTAAATAATAAATTTGTAGATGAGACTACTGGTAAAGGGGATTTATTTATCAATTTCCCAAAGACCTAAAAATTGAATTATTTTGGCTTTACATGCAACCATTCACAGATCATTTTAAACATAACATGCTATAGTATAAAATACTAAGTTTAACCCTTATATTAAGTTATATGTATAATATATGATGATATCCTATTTGTTATCTTTTATTTATTATCATTTGATAAATGATAAGATAGTATGTAAGCGTTTATGTCAATGTCATTTGTAGACGTGTTGATATCACTGCGAACAGTGGGAGGTTGAGATTGAATTTAAATTTTTTCACGAAACAGATTTTTTCAAAGGTGGAGAAGGGTTATATTTGTCATTGTTATCTGATCAAGAGTTTGGATCCAAGGAATTGATATTTATCTAAAGATACATAAGGTTTCAACCTTTATAGAATCTCATTGCCTGTCAACTTATCTTTTATAATGTAATTTAGATATCCAAGTAAGTAATATGAACATTTTGTTTTTACAGTGTATTGGCATTATGTGAAGGAACATTTAACTAAACATGAAATTCAGAGATTTTTTAGTTTAAAGAATATTGATAGTGATACTGGAAGAGGAAGAGCCTGGTTACGTGCATCATTTAATGAACATTCTCTAGAACGTTATATGCACATGTTATTAGAGAAAATAGAACTATTAAGGTACATTTAAAGTTTGGCACAGATTTCATTGTCTTTTATTTTGTACCCCACCTACATTTGAGTGAAAGCAGGGGTCTATTAAAATGGGTTTGTCTGTCTGTCACACATTTTGCAACTCTATAACTCTTCTTCTAATTGAGATAGAATGTTCTAATTTGGTGTTCATTGGGTGAATGTTTTGACGTAGTTTCATGATGAACATTTTCAGCTTAATTAACCTAAGCAGAAATTAGCTATTTGTCTTGCTGATGCTTTGGGACGTGATAGTATATATTTTCATCACATCAATAATTTGACAAAGTTCGATAATGAGCTTTTTCTGCTCAAGCTTAAGCAGAGTGATAAGCAATTTGATAGGTGCAAATAATTAATGAATTTCATCTATGTATTTTGGGATTAGGGTAGAGGACATTAATTAAGATATTTGGATGTAGCATTCTGAATAAAATCTGATCTTTGTATTCCTAACATAAGATTATCAGGATTATCATCATTGGGATTAATCATGGGAATACTATATAATATCTGACAGCTTTACATATAAATAAATGATTTCTCTGTTTATATGACAAATCATCATGTCAAATATTTGTTCAACATCTTTAATTTGATTGATGTGTAATTTTAGCCAGTATTATGAAGATTGGTCATTTTTACGAGATGAAGAAAGAAGTAGTATGCTGCCTATGATGGCAGCAGGTAAGTTGTTATGAATTTAATGAGGATATGATCAAATTAAAAAAAAACTCTCCATTGATTAAAAAGTTGAAAGGAGTTGAGCAGATCAAATGCATCTGCAGTTCATAACTATTGGATGATAATGATGATAGAAATAAAGATAGTATTAGTGTTTAATAAATAATGTTTTGGGTATTATAACCTTATATCAAGTGTAACATTAAAGAATCCTTATGAATTAGATAAAGTCTGATAAAGTAGTCTATATAGAATACAATAATCTGTTCATTTCTAAGACTAAAATAGCCGGTTTACCAATTGCATAAATCAGTACAGAAGAGATCTTTTGACATGCTTCTCATAATCATAATCTTTTACAGAACAAAAATGTATTTATTTTTTTTAAGCACAGATTTTTTTTTGTAGAATCAAAGTTATCATGCTTCTAAATTATATCTCATTCATATTTATTGTTATGTAATACAGTTATGATATTTAGACATACTTGTTATATAATACAGTTATAATTTATGGATATACTTTTTTCCAGGTCTAGGTTCTATTTTATTTGCTATAACAATAGACAGAAGTGAATTAAACAAAAGTAGCCTATCACAGAACAGTGTGCATATAAACACAAATTATCACCCAATCAAAAATCAAGAAAGTGAACCAAAACCTGTTATTGCTGGTGAAACTATTGCTGTTAACGGTAAGTAGATTTTTTGGCTTAGATTGTGTTCCTAAATGTTTGGTTTTATTATAATGTAAACAATGATCATATTACCAAACATAAATTTCTTTAAAAAAGTCTTTATAAACCTTCGAAACAATCAATCTCAGTACAGGTGGGAGCTTGTTTCATTGCGCATCAAACTATCAAAAAATTTAATTATTGATAATAATGTGTCAATCAGTGTAATTAGAATTAGATTGGACGGCATGCACGTAAAAGATCCCTTGGCATTTGGAACTTAATGATGTGTTGTAGAACCACCATTATCTGTCGAAAATTTCCCACATAACACACTACAATGTGTATGCCCATCTTCCTTAACCCATTTGGTGCAGCCAGATGTTAAACTACATATTATTTTATTACAATATAAATTAACATGTCACTTCATTCTCCTGACTATAATCCACTATTACATAATACAGTACATTCATCTTTATCTCTGTCAAACTGATTTATTTCATAGTTTGATAGACAGTGTTGGTTTGTCTGTGTTGTACTGTACTGTATATCTCATGTTAAAACATTGAATGTTAAATCAAAATTTGAGTACAATTTTAGGACGACTAAGCCTTGAAAAATTAAACTTTGTTCAAAAAATGCAAATGACGATCGTCAGCTTTGATTTAATTTATTTGAATACATTTATGAGCAATATCATGAATAAATGGGTATTTTTGGTAAGGGTAAAGTACTTTTGATTGTGCATGATTTTAAACATAACATTTGACTTAGGCCTGTTTTTCCTTCAATAAGTTAAGTTTGACATCTTTTGAACAGAGAAACGAAAAGAGAAGAAGAAAAAGAAGAAGATAGCTAATATTGTTAGTTTTGATGAAGAAGATGAAAGCATTGTGGTTGCAAGTAAAAATAAAAAAGACGCAACAACTGTGAATTCTAATAAACAAATATTAAAAAACAGTTTCAAATCCAATGAAGAAATTGTGAAAAGGGAAGCAACTCCAAATAGTGATTCCACACGAACTAAAGCTATTGACATACTTTCATCCGATTCTGTTAAATCCTCTCAAAAGATGCAGCACCAAGAATTTATAAAACATGACAACCCATCATTTGATCGTTCTGTGTCGAGTACGGTTAGCTCGATATCTAATTTATCAGCTGACAGGTTATCACGATCAAGTTTAGGATCATTTAGTTCTGAAGATGTAGATTTTGGGTAAGTACTTGGTATGTTCTAAAGTAATTTATTTTGCTTGATCCAAGTGTTCATGTTTTTCAGGAGCTACATGGTCACGGTGGCTCAATAAGAATGGTTCTGTCTCACTAACCGGCAGGTCCTGGGTTCGATCCCAGTGTTGGTCAAGAATGTTCCTCAAGATTTTGCAGTCTGGTTTCCTCTGGTCAATGGAGCAGTACGGAAGGCCGGGCAAGGAAAAGGCATCTAGTCATTTGGATGGCATGAAAAACGATGTCTACCTGTGTGCACCTAAAAGAATCCTTGGCAGTAGGAATTCAATGAAAAGTAGGCCGAAATGCCACTCTAGAGGCAAACTTTCCTCTACCTCATAATGCATTGCATTGCATATGCCTGTCTTCATTAGGTCCAGTAGGTGCAGAAAAATACGACATTAAATCCCATTTTATTTCATTTCATTTAATGATTTGATCACTGAATCTTAACAAAAAGGAACGTAAAAATTTTACCAGAAAATTATTCTTTGAAAATATCATATGATTGTGTCTTTTCCAGGGAAAGTACTACAACATTAACACCTCTATCACCTTCAGGTCATCCAATAGATGATGACCTTTTACATTTAAATAAATCAAAAATGCCTCTAGGTACATCAGGTAAATAAAAGTTTGCTTTACTACATATATTAAAATCATTATTGGCATGTATCAGATCGTAATTTCATGGATAATGGCCCCTGATTGTACAAAATATCATGTTTTTAGCTTGTGGACCCTCTAGAGGTCACAATTTTTGTCTGATTTTGATGACTCTTAAAACATGTTTATATCCCAAAGATCTTGGTTTCTTTCGATATTGGCACATGTCGGATTGTAACTTACTGGATTATGGCCCCTGATTATATAAAAAAATCATGTTTTTAGATTGTTCTCTGTCCATCTCTTGCAAAATGTGGTCTTATCTTGCATGGCAACTGCTTGTTACTTATATCAATGGAATGAATAAGATATAATATATGAGGTTTTATATTTTACAGTTGATTCATTGGATGTTTCAATGTTATCAGTTGAAGATACTGTATCAACTAATGCTCATCATAATAGTCTTTCACAACTTTCTAACAGGTTAGTTATTTATTTTACTGTGTAGGCCAAATATTGTTAGACTAAGTATTAGATGGTCTTTATTAACTTCTAACTTCAGCTTCTAAAGTCTATGTCAAGCCATTGCTTCGTGTAGCTATCAGTATTGACTGATTTAATAAGAACTTCCCACAGTCAAACGGTACTTATTGCAAAGTATGTTCTAAATCTACACTTATTTTTTGACTAATTTTAGATATATTGAATACATTAATGATGCTATTTTAAGGAGGAGAACACAAGGTGATGGAGGTAATACAGAAGTGTTGTTAGATAGAAGAAGTGATTCTATATCAGCAGGTAAGAGTATATTTATTTGTGTTTATAATCTCAGAGATTACGCATAACGTCTGACGCACAACGTCAGACAAGAAGAATTGTGATCAATGTAGTTATCAAACTGTTAGCCCAAATATGTTATGTGGATATGAATATACTCATAATGTATGTTATATACTACAGAAGATTTAAAACAAGCTGTTGTTGCTATGATGTTACATAAAGATGAAGTAGAAGACAAAAATAAGTAAGTTGTTTAGTATATGTTTATTAGCTGGTAGTGTTATGTTAGATATTTTGTTTTATTAAAATATATCATGATCTTGTTACTTTGAATTGAAAACCAAGAATATGCAAAACCATATTATTTATTATACTAGGTCTTTAAAAAGTATGTTAGATCAAGAAATGGAAATATCTTCTACACTACGAGCTGAAATAGAAGAAATGAAGATATCATTTAATATTAGTCATGAAAAAGAACAGACTAAAAATGAAACTTTACAAAAGTAAGATTATAATCAGAAATAGTTATAGGAATAATTGACAGTATTACTATTTTACGATCCATGTGTCAGATATCCATACAACCTCAAATGTAACATATAAGACATTTTTAGAAATTGTTAAACAGAGATTTTGTTGTTTATATTTGAAGTCACATTAGTTTTTGAGAGCAACAGAGAATTGTTACGTTATATGATTATTGTCATGAACTGCAATGTGCCCATGATAAAACATATCTCCAAATATATCGCTAATTACACTTGTGCCATAATTTGTTCACTTATTATAATTAATAATGTTTATTCAGAGAGAATGAGTTATTAAAACATCAACTAAGAAAATATATAAATGCTGTACAGTTGTTGAGAACAGAAGGTGCCTCTGATACCCAAGGTAAGTTATAGAGGGCTTGTGGCCATAAAAGTTTCATTGTTCACAATTAAGAATTACTCAAATTTGTATCCTGTCTTCAGCCCTAAAGAACAATAGATGCAACACATTGAATGTTTTGACATTGTGTGCTAAAATCAATTTCATATTTTACTTCCGGTGCTAATGCCGGATGGAGGGCCTGGCAAGAAAAAGTGTTGAGTTGTTGGGATGGTGTAAAAATTGGGGACCATGTGTATACCATTGGTAGCAAGTTGAAGAGAGAGAGAGAGAAATGGGGTTTAACGTCCACTCGACACAAACTAGGTCATTTCGGGAAAACCCACAAGGTTGGACAGGCGACCCTACTCCTTGTCACGTACAACCGGGGAATCAAAACCCTGCCAGTTGACTCAATGACAGAACGTATGATACAGCGCAGCGTGCACGTGCTAACCATTCGGCCATCCAACCCCCCAGCAAGTTGAAGAACCCCTGACAGTTAGTTGTAATAAAAGTAGACACCAATATTGCTGTGTGGAAAACAAATATGAATATTTATAAGCTTGTCAGTCCCTTATTAACTAAAGTGGGTGTCATTTTGTATGCCAGTGATCTTAACAATTAAATTTGATTTTTATACGCCCACATTGTCGTCACCCCTGTCCGTCCAGCTGGTGGTCCAGCAGCCACAATTGCTTGTGGATGCTCTAAAGGCCAAAATTAATATCTGATTGAGTTTAAATTGATACACAGTGTTAAAGGTCATGCGACGAAGAAGCCTGTTGATTTTCAACGATTTCTGATAATTACTGTCAGAGTTATGGCCCTCGATCACTCTTAAATATCTTGTGGATGCTACAGTTAATATCCGATTGACTTAAAATTTATGCATAGTGTTTAAGGTCATGAGATGAGGAAGCCTAATGATTTTCAACGATTTTGATTACTGCCAAAGCTATGACACTTGATCAATGTGAAAAATCTTGTGGACACTTTAGAGGCTAAAGATAATATCAGATTGACTTTATATTTATACAGTTTTTAAGGTCAGGAGACAAAGAAGCCTATCAATTTTCAACAATTTCTGATGATTATGGCAATTGATGTTAAATGTTTTGTACCCTAATGGTAGAATAAGCCCGAACTAGAAGCCAAATGGGTTGTTACTCGTAATCTGATTTTAGTGTGTTGTAAATGTTTTCAATTCTGACAAAATACAAAAAATATATGACAACCCTTGTTGGCTTTCCGGACGACTAATTGTTGTGACGTATATTTTGTTGCCTGCCAACCTATCTTTGTTATTATATTAAAGATAATCTAGGTATTACTCTAGAAGATCCCCAACCAGTAATTCCACCAGTAAAACCATCTATAGATTATAGCCATGAGGCTTCAGAATATGAGAAAAAACTTATACAGGTATATTTTTATTATACAACGCAATTCAAAATATTGTTTTTATATTACAATAATATATTGTCTTGCCCTCATTAAATACTTCTAACTGTTTTGGTGCATGTATCTTATTTTCATTGAGTCTACTGTATAATTCAAGCACTCTCCATAATATAAATATGTCAATATTGGTACCATTGCTTTCTTTAAAGTGGAATATTCACAAACTAAATTATTTGAGGTTTCCTCGTATTATAAATAATCCAGTATTGGTCTCTTTACAACACTCAGATATCTTATAGTTAAAAGAAATAGTTCTTTGGCTGAAAAATAAGTAACAAAAACAATTAAGCCTTCAAAAATAGTTGAGTATGCCACCCAGGAAGTTGGAAAGCTTTTATTTACAGAACTTGTACTGTAGTGCTCATGTCATAGTTGTGTAATACTCAAATGCAGCTTAAAACAGCTCTTTTTCTAATTCTCAACTAATTGAACTCAAATAAATTGTTAAATTCATTAGAGTTTAAGGACAACTAAACGGTACCAAAAGATCCAATAAGTTTCATGACTCTTTAATGTAATAATTATACCACTATTAAACTCTAGGTAGCAGAAATGCATGGAGAATTAATGGAGTTTAATGAACTATTACATAGACAGTTAAATGCTAAAGATGCTGTTATAAGAAGTATAAAGGAAGAATTAACAGATCTTCGTGGACCAGTAAGATCTATCTATCTCTATTACTGTATCTATTCACTTATATCACATTCAGTCAACCAGTGACAATACAATTAGTGACTAATCAACAGAATGTAGGATAGAGGACTTTAAATACCACCTTTAGTCGACTTGACATTTCTGATCTACTGATAGAGAAAATCGGCTTCATATGATTTACCTGATAATAGACTTTAGACATTATGTGTGGTGTTATTTTGAAAGTGCCTGTGATGAAAATTTCTCAGAACTTATGAATAGTAATGAGTTGATCAAGTCTGTGTTTGATTATTCATTTACCCCGCTCTGTTATTCTGTTTCTAAAATTTCTGTAAGAGCTACACATAATGTATGGAAAGAATATCAGGGTATAAAGCTGTCAAAATGACCAATGGCTAGTTCACCTCAATATTTGTCTAATGATCACATAGTAAAGACGATTTATATAATTTGATATTTTATATTTAAGTTACCATATGATGGTCAGTCATCAGATGATTCGTTACCAGGTGATCTAGAGTAAGTATTTAACATATCATATTGAAATAGATTAATATACTTTGTCAATGGTTTGGCACTCTGTAATTCTACAGATATCCAAGTAATTGGTTGGTAGATACGCAGAGAAACAGTATATTTTACATGTTTTTATAGAATTTTATTTTTAAAAACTCATTACATTTTTATTTGCAGGTCTTCTTTAATTTCCCGTAGTTTGATAAATATATGGATACCATCAGCTTTTCTTGGTGGTTCTAAAACAGACAGTCATCATGTTTATCAGGTATAAATATTACATCCCATTTCATGTTATTATCTAAGTACATTCTATGTACAATTTGCTGTCAGTCATAGAGACGTTAGAATTGGATGGAAAACAGTAAAACACCTTCTTTTGTTCATTTTATAATCCTCCTACATTTTATTTTTGTGCAGATATATAAAAGTGTATTTATATAAATTATTATGTGTCTGGGCCGGTCTTTGTTCAGAGCTCATACGTGTAGTAAGATTTTAATCTTGAACCAACGATAATAATGTATAACAGGTCCGTTATAAACTGTATAATTTTTAGTCAGTTAAATGGAAAATGCATATAATATATTAATAGGTTTATATACGGATACGAGATGAAGAATGGAATGTTTATCGTAGATATAGTAAATTTCTTGATGTACATACAAAATTAAAAAAGGTTTATCCTTTGATTGGAAAAATCGAATTTCCACCCAAGAAAACACTTGGTAGTAAGGTAAGTTGATCATTGATATACTGTACTGGTGGTAGCAATGGTGGTAAAGTTAAGTCGAGCAAGTCAACTAGGTAGACCAATAAAAACAATCACCCATAATTCAAATCTGACAGTAGTGGTTTATGAGCAGATACACGGCCATTACATCAGGAATGTGACAAAGCATAAATAACTAACTTATAAATAACTAAACAACATTAGGGCTGTTACAATATATTGTTCATAGCAATATATATTTTGAAAGAGAGAGAGAGAGAAATGGGGTTTAATGTCCATTTCGGGACTAACACATGGTTCAATTTTATTTCAATCATTCTCTTGCGCATAGGGGTCTTTAGCAGTGGGAGGAAACCGGAGGACCTGGAGAAAACCCACGAGGTTGGACAGGCGACCCTACTCCTTGTCACGTACAACTGGGGAATCGATACCACGCTAGTTGACTCAATGACAGGCCGTATGATACAGTGCGCGCGTGCTAACCATTCGGCCATCCAACCCCCCGTATATATTTTGAAAGGGATTTAACGTATTTTAAACACAATACATTAGTTATTTTGAGACTAACATTTATTTTTATTTCAATTGTTAAGTGTACTATGGGTGAAGGACAGTTTTGCCCAGACATCACTACTACTCTGCCTAATTGAATTCCAATTGTCACAGGTTCTTAAGTGTGCACATCAATGCATGTACAGGTGGACCTCGGTTTTTCATCCCATCTGCACAACTAGGCATGCTTTCCTTGTCAGTCCCTCACATGTGAAAACTAGGCTTGAAAAGTACTGCAGGGTTTTCTTAACCCATGTCATGATCCAAACCTGGGAATTCTACAATATGATAAAAGATACAAAGAGCTTACAGTATAAATGATAAATAATATAAAGTCAGTTTTCATCAAAGATAATCATATGAAATATTATATTTCCATATCTTGTTCAAGTATAACCATTTAAATACAATAATATATTAGTTACCAGTATAAATTTGTTTTTTGAAGGATCCTAAAGTTGTTACAACTAGAAGAAAAATGTTACAGACTTACCTACGTAAAGTTATAAATCATCTTCTTGAGAAAAATACAGATTTAGCTGATCATGTTAGTAAAGATAAACTTATAGCTGTAATTCCATTCTTCAAGTAAGTAATTTGATATATTTCCATTCTTCAAGTAAGTATATTAAAGGGGAATAATGTAAAATTTAGATAAAGAGCTGGCCGTTCTCGCTATAATATTTCAAAAATAGATAATGCAAAATGAATATATTGAAAATTTAATTCAAATTATATTATTTTGAGTGAAGTTATCAATGGTTGTAGTTTTGACAAGATGTATGGATTGATCGTAACCTCTGTACTGGACATTTGTGTCTTAGCTTTGCTTCTCCATTTTTATATTAAATCATTAAATGACTGAACCGTTCTACTCTTCTTGAGATCAGACCCATCAGATGGCATCGAGATACAGGTTAATAAATGTCTAATTAATAATGTATAGAACATTTAAGGCCCAAAGAGGCCCTTTAATAGGCAGATTTAGCTCTAACATAATGTCTGGTTAATATGACAACAATTTGTACTTGCTTTCTCCATGTAGGCATGGTGGCTCCATGAGTCAGGCGCTGGTTCACTAACCAGGAAACCGAAAGTTCCTCAGGATTTCCTAAGGTGGTTTCCCATTGTCACTTGGTGCAGGATGGAGGGACTGGCAAGGAACAAAATCTAGTTGTTTGGATGGGATGAAAAATAAAACGATTTCCAGTGTACATATTGGCATCCACATAAAACAAACCCTGACAGGGGAAACCAGACTGAAAAATTGAAAGGAACTCTCTAGGCCAACACAGGATTCTAACCCTGTACCGCCTGGTTAATGAGCCAGTGCCTTTCTCAATGAACTTCTATGGCTCCCATAAGAATCATTGCTTATATAAGATGTTTATAAGCTTTTACTTTATATATTTTAGTGACCAACCAGATGATAAAAAGAAAGGTAAAAAGAAGAATGGTGCCACATCTCGCCAACAACAACAACAACAAGCATCAGGTAGTTTACAACAGGTAGACGGATCTCAGGTACAAGATGGTGGTCCCGGACAATATGAAGGTTTTTGATAGGATAGTCATATTATTTTATAAAATAGCTAGTCAATAGTCAAGTTACTGTAGGTGAAGACTTTAATATAAGTCTATCAAGTTGTAAAATTCAATAATTGTGGCTTGTCAGTTAAAATGTTCTATGGACATGAACAAATGTATATCTGTAATATATACTGGAAAGATATGTTATTTACATATTGTATTATCTGAGTTGAAATTAAAGGTTAGTTTACATAAACAGAAGTGTGAGGAAAGCTGTTTGGGGATTATAATGAATATTAGAGGTGTAGCTGTTGTAATTTGGTTTGGATAAAATCATGCAGCAAACTGTATGTACTCATTATTTTATTGAAAATGTTTATTAAAAAAGAAATATTCAATTCTTTTCTTGTAATCAAATCATTGTTCTGATAGCTGTTGATTTGTGAATGAATTTTTGATAATATCTTGCCGAAGTATATGTTATGTTATATAGTATATTTCTTATTGAGAATATGTAGATTAAGACCAGTATGATATTACATGCTTTACTGAGCAATGTCATTTTGGATATTAAATGATCAGTGACTTGTACTTTTTGATAATAAAATAATTAGTAACTTCAGATTATAATAAACTTCATGATCAATAATTCTAAACATCTAATTAATATGAAATATGAAATTACTAGGTATATGTGATTGAATCGTATTATGAATTTAAAGTTACTAATTGTCATTGGCATATTTCGTTAATATCTAATTTTTTACCACTTTTACCACCCTAAAATCTACTTAAATTGAATATTTAACATTTGAATAAGAAAACCAAACCAAAATATCAATGATAGATCACCTCATGGCTTGGATTTTATTGCACTGAAAAGAGGCTTGTTTATGTCGTCTGCCTAGGGATGCACATTATTAGTTCATTATATCTCTGTAAATAATGAACTGAATTATACCATATTGGTTCCATTAAGATATTCAACATTCACATTGAATATTGTAGATTTCAAGGGATTTAAATTCAAAATCACTCAAATAATGATCAGAGGCTGTAATAGTATCTGTTCATTCACAGTTGTTGCCTTAATTAAACATACATTATGCAAGAGCTAAACCTGCAGGTCTTTCTTTAGGCCTGAAATGTTATATAAACTATTAATTAGACATTTATTAACATAATCAATTCTCGATGCCATCATATATCTTCGATGTTAAGTAGATTAGAACGGTTCAGCCATATTTTGATTTAATTTAAAAATGTTGAAGCGAGGCTTAGCTTCGAACAACTAGTGCGGTGGTTAGCATTAATGCACACATCTTGTCAAACCTTCAAAGGCTAATATCTTTGCTCACAATACAATAATTTGAATAAATTTTAAATACATTCATTTTGCATTATCTATTTTCAAACTATTATAGAAAGAATGTCTAGTTCTGTATCTAAATCTGACATAATGTATCTTTACATGATAAAGCTCAACTACCTGAATATGCTTGTTTATATTGTACCAATAAATACTCATAATATCAATTTAATTTATCGAACAGTAGGACGTTAAACCCCATTTCATTTCATTTCAATTTAATTTATCAAACTTGATGTATTCACCATACATTCCATACTAAAAGTAAACATACCTGGATTTAATGAACTTGATTGACCCAATTAAGTATCAGTATAGTTTAAAATCAAGAATGTGCACAACTGGCTAAGAAGAAAATATTTACAAACACAAATATAAACTATGGCTCAAGGTCTATCAATGAAAACATACCGAAACATCTTCAAACTTTAGAAAATGTATGATGTAGAGTCAGTCTGATAAAAACACAGACCTTCTTTCGTTTCGTTTTTTATAGTTCAAAATTTTATTTTAATTGTCTTTACTAGACTAGGATCTGGAAGAGTTGTTATATAACCTGGGTTCTAGTTAATGTGAGGGATTAGCCAATGAAACGATCTGTTACGGCGAGTTCTTGACGTGTGCTGCATGGAACTGTGGGTATCCCACTAGAAACATCAATGGTGATTGGTTAATCAAATGTCGGACGTCATAGGGTCAAAACCTGCTCCTATGACCCTTGAAGCAACCTTCCACTACAACCGTTGAGATCTTCATGCAGTGGAGGCCCTCAAAAATATAAAAAAAACAAAAACGAAATATAGATGTGTATTTTAATCAGATTGGATGTATAGTAAGAAAGTTGTTATTTATGTTTAGGGTGTTTGTGTAAGATGATTTCATATTTACATGTACATTCAGTTCTATCTATATTAACTGTTATTAGTCATACCATGTATGTTTACTACGCCCATATTATTTCTTTAAATTTTAAATCTTGTTTGTATACATGGATTTCGCTCATTGTTAAATTTTAAATTCACTAATCATAAGATTTGAATTCATTTATTGAATAATTTATTTCTGATCAAACTCTATTAGGTTTAAAGAGGTACAGCTTTAAAAATGTTCCGATTATAAATGTCTTGCCATAAGTAATGCAACTGTAGATGTTGAAGGAATATCTTCAGTACTGATTTATATTTATTCAATTTGATGCTTCCACATATAAATATATATAGTGCAATATGTAAATATGTACAAGTCATGGTTTATATTGCTTGACTTTTTAATTATATTCCTTGGAAATGATTATTAGATATAGTTCATAACTCTTCATGACTTGGGTAGGTTGAGGTGCTAGAGCGAGTAGTTATTTCAGGCAGTCAAGGTACTAAATGGTTACCTGAATAGTGCACATACCTGTATTTATGAACACACGCCAATGGCATTACAAATAATCTGGATGTTCCATGCTCTATTACTGTTACACTAAAGAGTTGTCTATCTTTGAACATCACCGTGTGGCTGTTGAATAAATGAATGGAAGTAGAAATACTCAACTAAAATTGTGACATGGATTTAGTTTACTGAGCATTTATTACTATATAGGTGACTTAGTGTAGATAATTGGTTAGAGACAGCTATAGGGCTGAATTAGTTAAGTAAATTGTTTCTGACAATGATTATTAATTAAAAGAAACTATTATATTTATATTTGCTATTGTATGTTACATGTATTTGATAAATAATTTATTTTGATACTTATAGTGATTATATTTTTAAAATTTTATGAAATTAATTGTTAATTAATTCATAGCATTTATTGAAATCAATTAGGATATAATATGGCATTAATTATATTTGTATGTTTTATTAACCACATCAATAATAATTACATTGTATTATTATGATTTTGTTAATAATTGATGTGCTATATTTATTTTTGCAGTGGCGTATCTAGGTTGGGGGAGAAAGGCAGAGTGATGTGCATTTATCTGATGAAATTGAATGTTTTTTTCAGGTCAAGATATGAGCGACAAATCATATTTTCCCCCAAATCAAATATGCTGCGTCCACTACTGTCTCACCTTGATTAACCTTGATGTTTGTCCTACTCTTATTATCATAGATTGAAATCTGTTCATGTAGCATATTTAGTATTTAGATTTGATTGATTAAAAATTGTTTAAATAAAGTTATTGTAGCCAATAAATATAGATTATTCATAGACTATTAGTATTGGCAGATCCGTTAGCTTATGAATCAAATCTGAATGACATTATTGTCTTATAAATGTTATGGTGTATATATTAATAAATCCAAAGACAAAAAAAGCACAAAAAAAAAATCCTGGATAACTTTTCTTTCTTATGTTTATAATAAATTAACAAAGGTCCATATATAAAATCTGTGATGTATATAGTTTTATATGTTTCTTCTTCAATGTAATATTGTATGTACATGTAATTGTTTATATTTTGTTAATGATGTGAATAAGTATGCATATATATAATGCTACAATAGATTACAGTGTAGACTGTACAATATATATATATATATTATACATCTGTATTGCTCTTATAAATTGAGAATATAAAAATCTGTAACAAAATGTTGTATGCAATTTAATTTGTAGGTGGATTAAATTCAAAAGATTTGGAAATAACCTTGTCAAAAATCTGTGATCATCATTTAAGGGATCCAGTATTTACAAAGATATGGTGAACATGAAGTAGAGTGTGGTATAGTCTACAAACACACTTCGTCTATCACCAAGTGTGACGGTTTTACTCATATTGGAAGTATTTTTCAGATTGTAATTGAATCAGGTTTTTCTATTCATAACTAGCACTAACATGTCGTAGATCAATATATTTTCCAATCAATAGTTATGTATTTAGTATCTCAGCTAACACAGGGTTCTCCCAAAGCCAAATGTTGATTCCATATAGAAGTAACATTAAAGCCAATGACAAGGGTAGATGTCCAGTAATTCAAAAATCTGACAGTCAAAACCGCACACCATGGAAGTTAAAGCAGCAGTTCCCTGGCGAAATTCTTCCATCAATGAATAATAAGAAGTAGCATTTAAATTAGATCAAAATGATCTTCTACCAAATTATTACTTAAACTCTTAATTATCTATTTCCTAGAATTTGTTCTTAATTACTAAATAAGGTTCTTGAAAATAATGCCTATTCGGACTGTTGTTAGTACCGAAATAAACAAGTACGGTCGTACTATGGACTAGAAACTGACCATGTTGTTGGATGAAATTAAAAATGTAATTCATCAAATCGACGCAGAATTGTTCAAAGAACAAATGTGCCAATTTTCATGTTGATCGGACTTGAACTGATGGAGTCTTTGGCTTTTTCGAAGAGTCAGCGATTTTGGCTAAAGTATAAAGGGTAAGTTGGATAGCCGTTACCATAGGTATTTTTTTTTACTATCTATAAAAAGTAGAATTCAGTCTCTGAGCAGATATTTTACAATTATAGATTTCGTGACGTAAAATGTAAGAGTTTTTTTCCATTACCAATAGATTATTAAACTTCAAATTGAGAAATGAAAATATTAAGATTAAAAAAAATCACCTGTACTGTTTTGAATTTAGGTTAAATATTGTTTTTCTCCGCATGGTTACAAATTACAATTCCCGTTCTTTGGTTAAATGAGTTGAGAATTACTAGCCTGAGACCAAATGTAACTGGAGTTGCCTCCCTTACAATATCGGTCGTGAAAAACTGCAGCAAAATATATATTCTTAAAATAACAGAATATTATGCTCTAAACACTTGCGTCATAATACATATTATAGATTTGATTTCATAACTTATCAATTAATACCGCACGAATTTTTCTTTCATTGTTTTAAGTTCTGTTCTGTGCCTATTTTTGATTAGAATTTGAAGAAATATTGATGTCAACGTACTTGTATAGGCATCTAAAACGACGATATAGATATAGCTTTACAACAAATTAATGTATTCTTCCCCGAAGATCGGGAACCACGGTATTTCTGTAAGGCGCTGGGTTACTAAACGGGAGGACCGAAGTACATTTTCAGTGATGGCCGAGAAGGTTCCTCTGGATTTTCTAGTATGGTTTCCCTTTAATTGTTGCGCAGGGCAGAGGTCCTGACAAGGAAATGCGTCTAGTCGTTCGGGTGGGACGAACAACCGGGATTCTGTGTACACCTTGGCGTCCACGTCAAAGGGCCCTTTGATAGTTGGAATCCAATTGCTTTGTGGGCAAAAAGTCAATCATAGCACACTATTTGGTGGGTGGTTGGGTGAACAAATGGTTAACGCGGGCGCGTTTGATCAGGCGGTCTGTCATTGAGTCAAGTGGCGTTGTTTCGATTTCCCGCTTGTATGTGACAAGGAGTAGGGTCGCCCGTCTAACCTCGTGGATTTTCTCCGAATCCTCCGGTTTCCTCCCACTGCTAAAGACTCCTACGCGCAGGCGAATTGTTGAAATAAAACTGAACCATCTATTAGTCCCGAAATGACCTAGTTTGTGTCGAGTGGACGTTTAGCCCCATTTCTCTCTCACACACACACCATTTGGTGTATGTCTTCATTACCCCGGTTGGTGCAGATATGTAAGACGTTAACTCCTACTTTGTTCATTCGTTCCCCCAAATGTCAGAAAATAAGCCCCCATCCACGATCAACCGACTACTGACGATTTTGTTTGTTGTTTTATATGGACTTTTGTTCCGGATTCTTAGTTTGAAATAAATACGTAATAATTGTAATGTTAGCCCAATTAGGCCAGGCCTACAGATAGACCTATTAATTATTGTGGTTCTCAAAACATACTGGTAACTAGCTTTTTTTGTGACTTCCTTAAATGTAATGTTGCAATGGATACTTCTTTTCTCTAGAACCTATCGTGAATAATAATTTTAAAAACATGTCTTTGGGTTTTTTTTTTTTCAGAATGGAAATACATACAGCAATATTTTAATTTGTGCAATTTTATATCGATTCTGCGATAAGGATTTCAAGAGGCATTTGACATTATCTCTCAAACTATCACAGTCTACGCATGTAAATTGATTCATTTATACAAGCTGTCTTCAGCAGAATATAGTTAAGTAAATACAAAAGACAGATTTAATAGGAATGAATTGACACTAAACCGTTAAAAAATACCGAAATAAGACACTAAGCGAATTTTTATTCATGCCGCATTTTAGCATATCTCGGTTCATCGATTTTGACAAGAAGTGTGATTTTGCAAATCGGCAGGTTTATGCGTCTCCAATTACAGTTCTCACGGTATATGAAAAATTCCCACAGTGAGCGCTGTTATTGTCACCAGTACTGTGACAGCCCGCGACCGGTAATTTGCGACATTCAAGCCATTTTGTCACAATTAGCAGCTTTTCACCGTCAATCTTTTCAATCGAAGTAAATGATTCGAACATTCCACTACCCTTTCTTTCAATGGCAAATAAAGAGTTGTCAGTATTTTTTGAAGAATATAATGGATGGACGATTAGTTATGTTAGAGAACTTTAACGCTGATTCGTTTTGTTTTGGTGAGGATCGGAGAACGATGCGAAGGACGCCATTATTATTAGCCGTATACTATTGTTGATTAATGATACTGCGCGTCTTGCATGGTCACGTCGTGTTTTGTCTGCAGTTATTTGGTCTGCGGCTCGTTTGTCTTATCATACATGATTGACCTTCACAGTATATGACCAGGCAAAAGATCACCTACTGTTTTTAAGTAATCAATGTTTGGAGTGAATCCACACGCACAAATTCTTCAAACTGTTTAATACATTAGTCCACAGAGCAAGCACTCTGGGTAAATTTGCGAGAAAACCCCCCACCACAAGAAAGTAAAAAGAATCAGATGGTTTATTGTTTTTCAGGATGATCAATAAAATTTCAATTTTTTCTTCCACACCATTTCGTGTTCGAATCTCTTTAAATATTAATCCAACTTTTTTTTTTTGAAATGGCAGTTTGGAAGGTCATGCCAGTTTCCCCATTTGCCATATTAATTCCTATTCTAAACCATTCTAGAGAATACTAGTTTTCTGAAACGCCACAAAGGATTACGAGTAAATGGGAGTCTTCAATGGGTCGTTATAGGCGGTACCAGATCTCAAGTTGTCCATCGTGAAGTATGGTTGTATTATCTTCAGCAATAGAAAATAATTTGTTGTCAAAATAAAAGTTCAGTTCTACTTGAAAAACGTATTGAATACGCCAGGCAAGATACTTGAGACATTGCCGAACCCTCCACATCGGGATTACCAGAACAATATTGCCTACTTTAAACAAGATGGCGTCCTCTACAGTCCCAGACAAATGATGATCGGGCTACTCAAATCTCTTAACATTTATAAACGAAGAATTACCATAGTCAACCTTTAAAACGTTTTTCTTGACCCGTTGTTATAGTGAATATTCAACAAGTACTCATCCTTGGTTGACATCTTCAATTAGATACCGACATTAGGATTATAATGTGCTGGGAATTTATTTTACTTGTTTTATTATGCTAAGAAACACTTTATAATACAGCATTCAATGAATCATCATATTCCACCCAATCTGCTAATTGGAAATTTAAACGTATATTCCAGTCACCGAAGACATTAATAAAGTATTTAGAACAACATTGACGTAAGATTCTTGCGGCAACATTCTGATTTTGTGCCCTTAAAATAACAAAACTCTCCATTCCTTGTTGTTTCGGTCAATAACTGTTTCAGCTATACGGCGAAATAGATACATAATGTACATTGTCAGGGTAATAGACTGCATTCGTGACAAATAAAGAATTGGGGGATAAAATAATGAAGTGGAATATAAGGGGAATTTCAGTTGTGTTTCCGTCTACTCTTGTCAAATTCCTACTTCTATTACAAATCGGAAACACCAATCGACCTCGGTTTTTGTACCATCCGAACGATTAGGCAACTTTTCCTTGCCAGTTATCTCGTCCTGCATCACTGTACGGTAAGAGTAAAACCAGGTTGGATAATTCTGGGGAACTTTGTCGGCCAATACCGGAAGCTGAGGTTACGACGTGATAAGCAACGCGATGATCAGTTGCTATGCTTATATACACCAAAGTACATAATTGAGTCTTGTGAATATATTGGTCTGCTCCGATTCTTGGCCGATGGGCCCATGAAGGAAATGTGTCTATTGGTTCGGATGGGACAAAATAAACAGTGTTCCGTGTAAACATATGCATAGGTGTATTTAAAACAGCTACCCCCCAACAAAGCACACGAGACAATGGTGACTGAGGTTTTAAAAAGCCATTTGATAATTTTAATTATTCTCTTTTTTTTTGTCGACCTGACTTTTAATATGTACAGAGCATTGGTGTACATCTGTAAAATATGTAAATATATAAATATATATTAACATACAATCATAGATGAACAATGTCAGTTGTCTATACAAACTATACATTTACTTTAAGACTTCCATGTTTGTTTATCGTCTCATAAAATATCATTTGAACTAGAATACGACCCATGACCCCGCCGCTAAATTTGACACCGTAAACGCGGTAGGTGAATAGAGTTCCCAGGTGCTTTACCTGACGGTCTATTGTGTAAA